CCCCCCCCCCCCCCCCCCCCCCGAACCTTAATCACTCGCCAAGATGCTTGGATTTCTTGATGGCGTCTCACGATGGGATGCTCCTGCGGCTCCGAACTTGGCGGATTGAAGCGTACTGTGTGGGCAATGTTGACTGGCTCTCGAGGTCTTCTTCATAGTTGCATCAATATCTCTCTCGTCGTGCGTCTTGCACATATTTGAAGCAATGTGGATGCACCATTCAGCATCATCTGCGGACTGCGCTCAGGGGTTCCCGTTGCTTACGTGCGGAGGCGTGCAGGGAGGTTACAGCGGGGATGCCGCTAAGATTTAGGGCTGTTTCAATATCTTCCATCCCCGCGGTCTCGTTTTCAGCATGGAGATGTTTCATGGCTTGACCCCCTACGACTACGCACGGCCGGGGGTGATGACTACCTACCTACCTCTAGAAGAAACGACGGGAAGATTGGAATCGGCTTTACACAGAAATATTTCTTCAGAACATCCCCCAAGATAGACATCCCAACACTTCCTCCCTCTCCATTACTCACATCCGACATCAGATCATATACCCCTGACCCATCTCAGCAAAGCTTTCGACAGTACCTAACCTAACCTAACCACACCTCCAAAAACGGCAAAACCAAACAATGCCCATCCCCTCCCCCACCCAACTAACCACCTTCTCCTCCCTCCCTCTTTCTGGCGACTCCTCCTCCCCCTCCCCGCCAGAGACAGTCCCCGACCACCAGACAAACCAAGACACCTATCTCTTCGCAACCATCAAATCCAACCTCACCATCACCAAACCCACTTTGATCCTCACCGACTCCGCCTCGCAGGACTTTGCGCTCGTCTTTGATCCCCCTTCCGCTGTCGTTTCCTCCGGGCCGTATACCCCCGATGCCGTGGCTGATAAGTTCAAACAGCTCGGTCTCAAAAAGGGAAATACGGTTATCATCAAGAATGCGAGGAGAACCACCAAAAAAGCAGCGGGGAGGGAAGAAGGGCAGGGGTTTGTGGTTTTGAGGTCTTTGGGGCGTCTTGCAACGGAGCCGGAGGGAGGTTTAAGAGGGAAGGGTGGTGATGGAGATAGGGAGGGGAAGGAAGGGGAAGCGGAACTGTTGGGCGTTGTTCCTTCTGCTCTGTTCCTGACTAGAGTGATGATGGATATCCTGAGACAACGAGATGAGAGTTTGCCTGGGGATAGAGAGGAGAAGATGTGCGATGGGAAATTTGATAGGTGTGTGACGCCGAGGGGGAAGGAAGAAGGGGGGGATGGATCTGAAAGGGGGCTGAAGAGGTGTCAGGGGTGTGTGGAGGTTTGGTATTGTTCCAAGGTGAGTTCTTCTCAAAAACATGATGATGATGGGGGAGACGAAAAAGAGAGAGAGAGGAAGCTGATGAATGTGAAATAAAATAGGAGTGTCAGACTAGGAGGTGGATTGCGCATAAATCCGAGTGTAAGACTATCAAGGCTTTGAGAGGGATTTGGCCTAGGCCTGAGGGGGTGGAGTGAGTTCATAGGGAGAGATTGTGGTTGATTGCTTGAGCTAGAAAAGTTGTGGTAAAGCAGATAATGAGTTACGAAAGACGACTAAACCTACTTCCCACCATCATCCTCCTTCAGCGGCTTGTCGTCGTCTGCCTTCTTCTCAGCTTGCTCACTTCCCTGCCCCACCTCCTTTTCCTCCGGCTCATTCAAAACCTCACGATACATAATATCCGTCCTAACACTATACTTCACCCCCTTCACCACATCCGCGCCCGCATGAAACACCCTCCGATGCTGAAAGATCAGCACCCTCCCCGTCTTGCACTCAACATCATACTTTCTCTTTTCGTCCCCAGACAACGACGCCGTGGCACCACCGACCAATTCCGTCTCGTCCTTTTTGTCGGGCGGAGCTTCTGACTTGCAGTCGTTGAGGTAGAGGTGAATGGTGAATAACGTCTCGTTGATACGGTCAGAGTTGATAGGGTCCAGTTCACGGTAGGGGGAGTCGCAGTGGGCTATGTGTCCCATCCCATCACATCGTCAGCCTCAGTTTTCTCGGTATTCCCATGCAACCAAGCATGAAATGGCGTAAACTCACCTCTAAAGAACTGCCCCTCCCCATACCTCAAAAACCTCATCCGCTTATTAACTTTGACAAACTCCCACTTGCCCGTCCTCCTCCCATCCCTCAACCCCTTTGTTGCATTCTCCTTTGTCCGCTTACTCTTCCCCTTTTTCTTCCCATTAGCATACCTCTCCACCACCTCCTTTGACTCCTGTTTCCCATCCCCATCCGCAGCAGGGGAAGGCAACGACCGCCCAGTAATAATCTTCACATCCCTCTCCCTCCCCGCATCCAACACCGCCAACCTCTCCATCAACCCAGGAACCAAGCAACACCGCGCCCACAGCCTATCCACAACCTCTTGCTGATCCCAAATGATCCGCGACGAGTTGCGGTACGAGGGCGTAAGTACTTCGTAGCCGAGTCCGACATTCACCAGGGCTGGAGCCCATGGTGTCTTTTTTGTCGCTGTTGCGGTAGAGTCTTGTTCTTCATGCACCCACTTCTCAAGCGGAACACTCCCCTCCGCCAACTTGCGCAGTTCGTCACACTCGTCTCTTGTTAGCACCCCATCTAATACCACGGCGTACAGTCCCTTGTTTTCAGGTAGGTCTGTCTTGGCCCAGTCGATTTCTGTGAGAGTTGGGACGGGGGTGATGCCTGGTTCGGTGGCGAGGAAAGTGGGAGGTGGGTCAATGGGGAGAGACTCGTAGGTGGTTTTGATGGGGTTGGATTGATGATGGGCTTTGTTTTTTTGCGTGTTCAGGGGGGGTTGGTGGGGCGGTGTTGGGGTGACGAGTTTTTGGAGTTCGGCTAGGACAGAGGACATCATTGTGATGACGGTCTTGGGGTAAGGATGAAGTAAGGTAGGTAGGTAGGTAGGTAGGTAAAGTAGAACGGTAAAAAAGAGGAAGGAGGCCTATGAGGAAAGAGTTGGAGAGGGGAGAAACGGTGATGAGATGTGGTCTTCGCGGGAAAAGAATATATGGTGAAGAGTTTAGGATGACTACTTATGACTAAAAACATAAACCCGACTTGATGAACGGAAATAAAAGCGGATCATAAACATTATACCGGGTACAGCGATTCCAGGTAAACAATCCCACGATGGCTGCCTAGAGTAGCATCCCGGTATAAATCTCAATGACTGGACAGCGATCACTCTTGGCGGCGTACATAGGGCTGACAGCACCTTTGCACTTCACAGATGATCACCAAGTCCGAAGCGGGGAAGGGCTTGCAGTGTGTTTGTTGTCCGTTGCTTAGGTCTATATTGAGTTAGGCAGGTACTCTGTGAACATGGATTGATACAAAAAAAAACAGCCCAAGAACTTCGACACAGGTGTCTGTATTTGATGGATTTCACCGTTACTGTAGGCATCTATTCATCTCGTCGCGGGATAACGATGACGACGCCAGGCTGCCGGATAACTTTGGTCACCCGTGTTTCCGAGATGTGAAGTGTCCTCAGCAATAAGTATGGTAGATCACAGGAAGTGTTATGGGGCCTTGCTGGGATGGTCAACAAGTGGAACCACAACGCCCCCTTTTCAGGATGTAAACAAACTAGAACTACTTGGCAACAAGTCCACCAAGACTAACGGCGGAGTGAACATTGGCAACCATCAGGCACTTAAAAAACAAAACACAATAGGTATCTATCTACATCTACTTCTTTTTAAAGTTCTATCTCTAATGCCTCGACTCGAGTTCATGTATGTACCCACTTTCGGTCCTCCGGTTTCTATTCACCGAAAATCCAACCAACGCCCTACGCAGCCGCAGCAGCAGCAACAGAAACAGCAGCAGCAGCCTCAACCTCCCTCTCCAACCTCTTCTGCCCCTTCTTCCCCACCGGCACCACCTGTTGTTGTGCCTCCTCTCCCATCCCCATCCCCATCCCGAACCCCGACCCAAGCCCCAAAGCCCTCTTGACCCTCAACCACAACTCAAACACCTCCAATTTGACTTCCACCCTCGCCATCCCCCACCACGCGCCCACCAGCCTCACTAGATTCGCCGGGCGCCAAATACTTCCCAGCCCCCTAATCTCCTCCAGTTGTTCGTAGAACACCGTACGCATACAATACCTTGCCAAAATCAAAAACTGCCTCACCGGCCCTTGCTTGGTATGCAGACTCTCATCCAGCGCCCTCGTCAAATCATTCGTCTTGAGAATCAACAAGATAATCCTCGGCACTTGCCCCAACATCTGCACCAAATCCACAATCAGCCCCTCCTGCAGTGCCGTGGACATGGACTTTTGTTCCGATGCCTCTTTGGGTTTCAGGACGCCTCCGCTGTCGGTGGCGGAGACGACATTGATAAAGTCGCGGCCGGTGATGGCACTAGCAAAAAGAGGGAACTTGTCTTCCCCGATGCCGGCGACTTCGTACACGTAGCGTTTCATCTTGGGGATGTCCCCGTCGATGATGGCCAGCCAGAGTTTGGCGTAGGAGCGACGCAGGGGGAGGGGGATATCGCGGTAGAGGCCGTGGTCGTACAGAATAATGTCAAAGTTGGATTTGGATTTGGATTTGGATTTGGACTTGTTGTTGTTGTTGTTGTTGTTGTCATGGTAGCGGATGGCAATGTTGCCCCCGTGCGGATCGCAATGGAGGGGCGCGCCCTCGCCAAAGATCATCTCGTTGAAAATGCGTGCCAGCGTGGCAGAGACTTCGTCCCGGTCGATGCCGTGGGCGTCCATGTACGCCAGATCGTCGAGGCGGTGGCCTGATTCGCACGCCATGACCAGCAGACGCTTCTTGGCCCAGAGAACGTCGGGGATGACTAAAGGCAAGGAGGGAGCGAATTCGGCGAAGTAGCGGGAGGTGCGGCGGGCGTTTTCGGCTTCGCAGGTGAAATCGAGTTCCTTTGGCAGGGAGATCTCGACTTCGGACGAGAGCCATTCGAGGTCATATTCGGGGAAGAAGTACTTGAGCGTCTTGAAGGTGGTCGACGTCAGACGCATGTCCAGGGGCGCCCAGCGCTGGAGGGACGGGTGTTGGACTTTGACGGCGACGCGCTGGCCGGTTTCTTTGATGGTGGCTAGATGGACTTGGGCCAGCGAGGCGGCGCCGATGGGCTCGCGAGAGAATTCGGAAAAGTAGTCCCATAGCGAGGTGCCGGTGTCTTCGAGGAACATGCGCTCGATCGACTCGAAGGAGGAGACGGGGCATTTGTCTTGGAGAGGGATGAAGGTTGTTGTCCATTCGGGGGGGAGGAGGTAGTTCATTGCGCTCTGTTTGGTCGTCCGTTAGCATTGTCTCTGCCATCCTGTGTTACCTAGCCCAGATGACTAGTCTGGTATTTCTGTCCAGGTCCCGTAGAGAGGTAGTACTAACCAAATGCTGCCCCAACTTGATAAAAATTCCACCACTCTTCTCCAGCACCTCCAACGTCCGATCCGCACACCGCTGATGACACTCCCTCAGCAACCGCTGCTTCTCCTCCGGGTCCTCAATCTTCTCCCTTGCGTTCAACGTCACCCGATAATCGTTCACGCATATCGCCAACGTGCTCGCCACCCTCCCCGTCCTCTCTACCGCTTCGTATGTATATTTGACATCGTCTCCAACCGCCAGCAAACCCGCGGCCGCTGCGCCTCCGCCAGCCGCTAGCAGTACTGTCCGTCGGCCATTGTTTTTGTTTGTTTTGCCATTGGCGTTCGAGGAGGAGGAAGAAGAAGAGGAAAAATTGTTCGAGTTCTGGTCGCTGGATCGTTTCGAACTTGAGGAAAACGATCGTCGGGCAAGTGTCGAGTTATAGACGGATGCCGAAAGCGAAGAAGAAGAAGAAGATGAAGCGGAAGAGGCAGAAAGTTGGCTGCGACAGCTTGCGCACGTCCACCCGTTCGTTATCCTGCCTGTGCCGGTTCGTCGGACAGGCGCATAGACATGGTTGAGCGTCTGCAGACGCCTAAGCGCAGCGAGCGAAGGGAAAGAAGTCTGGGCTGGCATATTATAAGACGGTCGAACAACTATTATATCGACAAGAGGAGCACCGAAGTGAATTATGGTAGGTCGTTCCGTCGTCGTTGTCGTTGGTCTATCGTTAAATCATGAACTGGGAAGATGTCGTCGGCAATGCGCGCGCAATTAATGGTTAGGTAAGTAGAAACCTAGGTAGGGTAGCCGTAGGGGAAATCTAAGACGTGCTCTAGACCTTTGCTAGAGTCGGGGTCTAGCGGTCGGCTTTGCGAACGGACGGACAAAGTAAAGACGGAAAGACCAAGGTTTCATCCAAAATCTCAGAGAAAAAAGATACAAACAAGAGATGAAAGATATGGCGATGACATCGACAAGTTCGGGAGACGGCGCATTGCCGCCCGTGGGGAAATTGCCGCCACAAAAAATGCCAAGGGCGACTTCGGACAAGCCATACTCTATGTATTCGGGTTAGGGTTTGGGGCATGGGTTCCTTGGCTTCAACTTGTGAGAACCATCCGTCATCAGCAACAGAAATGAAACATGGGCATTTTGTTCTCAATGGCGGGTCATCATCATCTCTTGTCCCATTATTTTCCAGTCATATCAGAGAGGACTGTATCCCGCACGAGGCTACCCAGCAGCCCTTTTCCACCGTTAAGCTACCCAACCCAACGCTCAATCTATCCGACAGCCCAGTCAAAATTCATCATGACCATGACATAGAAAAAAAGACGAAATGCTAATTTGTACGTTACTGGCAAGCCATGTAAAGACTTGGTATCATCAAAATGACAAACAACGCCGAAATAATTTTCAACCAGAAGAATAAACTAACGCAGGCACGCACGCACGCTTGCTTTCCCTTCCTTTCAACATCAGACAAATCTATTCATCCATCCAGGTTGTCTCATTCGCATCCATCACATCCACCTAGACATCCATCGTCTAGATTTCATCATACCGTTTATCACCATATCATCTCCCATGCTCTAATCCCTCAACAAGCTTCCAGTCCTTCTGCTCCCCTCGCTCAGATTCCCTCCACTTCCCCTGCCCTCCCTATCATTCGAGGGCGTCATCGGCCGGGGCCCACTAGGCCGTCTCGATACCTGGCCCGTCGCTCCACTCAGGTTCTTGTTCTCCAACCTGCGTGCCTGGCTCGGGCTGTTGGGGCCGCTGCCAGTGCTGCCATCAATGGGCTCCTTAGGCGGCCTGGGAGGTCCGCCAGAAGTCGCGTTGAGGCTCGCCGGAGCCGGCGATGAAGAGCCGTAGATCTGCTGCCAGTTCGGGTTGGCCTCGTTGCCCTGAGAGTCGAAACTATCGCGGTTCAGGTTGCGAGGCAGCCGGTTGAGGCTGGTGGCGGATCCGGCCCAGTCTTCCGACTTGGGGCTCAGCATGGGCGAGTTGCCACCCGTGAAGCCGAGCGCCTGAGACTCGAGCGCTTGCTTGAAGCGCTCCGTCTGGCCCTGCCGGGGCTGAGGGTGCACCAGGTTGAGCGAGTTGCGATGAGCCTTGTACTTGGCTTCCTCGGGCGTCATCGTCACCCAGTTAGGCTGCGGTGGCTGCATCGAGTTGTACGCAAGCACGGGGGACTCGGGGTCCTCGTGAACGTCGTGGCTTGGCCCACGTCCCTGCGAGTAGGGGTTGTTGTTGTTGTTGGGCTTGGGCTTGGGATGAGGGTTGGAGAACTGAAACATATCCGAGTAGTCGGAGGTGGCAACCGAGTCCGCGCGAGACGAAACCGTGTTGTTGCGATACGTAGGCATCGTAGGCTGCTCGGCCGGCCTGATCGGGCTCCACTGCTGCTCGTCTTCCTCCTCCTTGCGTGACTGGCCGCTGCGGCGGAAGAGTTGAGTAATGTTGGTAGTTGTAGTGCTCTCCGACCACCGGGACTTGAACCAGCTCGACCTTCCCTTCTTCTTCTGGTCCTCGTTTTGCTTAGCAGCATTCTGGTAGTCTGGCGACCTGGTACTTTCGTATTGCTGCTGGTAATCAGGGGACCTGGTCTTCTCATAAGCGGGCGACTGAGGGTTCTCATACGCAGGCGACCGAGTATTCTCGTAACCAGGCGACATCTGAAGAGCGCCCGAAGCGGTAGGCGGCGACCCACGAGGCGTCGCTTGCAACGAACCAGAACGCTGTTCTTGCGCAGGGGTCATCAAAACTTCCGGCCCGCCAAAGCGAATGCTCTCATTGTCATACTCATCCTCGTTGTCCTCGGGCACGGTACTTATCCTGTGACCGGACACCTTGCGGCCAAAGTTTTGCTGGCCGGATGTTCCCCGAGACTGGATGGACAGCTGTCCGGACTGAGACGCACTGTTAGTGGAAGTTCCAGCATGTCCCTCGGGCTCGTAACCACGATCCTGCTCGTATTGGCCCTGAGATTGCATGTTCTCATACGAACGCTCATCCTGATGGCTCATGGGCGCAGAGCCAGCGCCAGGAACAGTCTGGGACTTGAGCACATCGACTTGAGTCAGGAGCTGCATCAGCATATCCTCGATCCTGCCAAGGTCGTTAGGTCCCTTGTGACCCAAGCCCTTCATCAGAGCACGGCGGAAGATGTTCTTCTGCTTCTTGTTGCTCATCTCGTCCATCGTAGTGGTAGTGCCCGCCTGCGAGTTGGAGTGAAGAGAGCGAGGGGCGCTTCCAGGATAAGGACGAGGACCGTTGATGGCGCGCTGGACTGTCTTCTCCGTGTTCTCCTTGACTTCGGTGATAATAACATCCTCGGTATCAGCAAGGAGACGCTTGAGGTCTTCAAAGTTGTTACGCATCTCCGTGGCGGCGCGAACGAGGGTGACCAAAATCTCGGTATCGCGAGCACTGCGCTGAGCATCGCGGACCATCAACTGTAACTGTTAGCAGGCAGACTTCTTCGGCACGAGCGTACGGTTGAAACTTACATGTTGCATCAAAGCCATGATATCCTTGGACTCAATCTTGTCAATTCCCGTTCCAGTGGCGGGATCATACATCTGCGACTCCATTCCGTCCGACATGCCACTAACTTGTCGTGAACCGGAGCCGAAGAAGTCCATGGGGTTCTGATTCTTGGCACCACCAAGGTTGAGAGGGGCGCCATAAGCGAGACCCTTGCCCTTGTCCATCGAAGTATCGGGGGTCTTGTTAGGTCCCTGGGAGATGTATCCCTCATCGACCTTCTGACCGACAGGGCTACGAGTGGCATTGTCGTAGTTATCGCGACCGCCAGGAGAAAGAAGACTGTCTCCCAGACCGGCAAGGTTGGCAATGGGGCTGGCATCCTCGTAGGGGTTGGTGACCAAAGTATCGCGCTTCCGATCCTCGTCAGTCCTGTACCACTCATCCTGCTCCTGACCGGACTGCTGGTTGCCGCTGAGGTTGAGACCCTTTTGCAGAGCATCATGAGTGCCGTCAAGAGGACGGTAGTTGAAGTCATCAACGGACGACTGGGGGCGCTGCTTGGGGGTAGCATCTCCCTCCCATTCACCACCTTCCTCTCCATTGAGCAACGATGGGTTAGTGAGCAGATCATCCTCGTTCCAGTGCTCGAAGTCTGGCAACGGGCTGCTGATATCCGGCAAGCCACTGAAGCCCAACTTGATGGGCACAGAGACGTCCGACATCCTGTCGACACTGTGCTTTGGCTGCAGTGCGGGTCCAGATCCGTTCTGGGCGCGCTCCTTGAAGGACTGGTTGCGCTGAACGCCCTCCCCTTGCCATTCCGAAGTGCCCTGGTTCTCTTGCTTACCCTGCTGTCTGAGGGCGGCGGCGGCGGCACCAACCGCAGCGCTGGTAATAGCAGCCTCTGAGGCGGTGGTGTAATGACGCTGTCTTGGGACCTTCCTTCCATACTCGTCGACGTCATACTCTTGGTAGTCGTATGAGGCCTGGCTATCATTGCCAGCCGTGTCTGGCCTGTCAGCCTCTTGGCTTCCATTGGTAGCCATCGAGTTGCGGTATGGCTGCTGATTGACGCCGCTAAATCTAAGCGAATCTACCACGGAGCCCTCAACGAACGAAGCATGGTTGGAATCGACACCAGAGGTGTGGACGTAGTTCGGATTGGCTCCAACGGCACGGACAGCGTGACCATTACCGTCAACCTCGCTGTTTGTCATTCCGCTCACGTTGCTCCGATCCATGCCCGCCGTCCTCAAGCTGGCTACGGACATGTTTTCAGGGGTACGCGAGCCGCTTGATACTGAGCCGCCGAATGCGCGAGAATCACGGTTCGGCGCCTCACTGCCTTCAGTGTATCCGGAGACGCTGGGGATAGGACTCAGACCGCGCTTCTCAGGCTGGTAAGGAACATACTTGAGTGGAGGCGGCACCTCTTGCGTGTTGTAGTAGTCGTATGGGCTATTCCCGTATTCGCGCTCGTGATCATCGTAATCGTCCAGATCATCATAGGAATCAACAGACGGTGCGCCACTGTGGTAGTCGTTGCCCTGGTTCTCGGCACCCCGTTGACGTGGCAGCTGTTTCAGGTCTCCATGGGAAATATTGGCATGCTGAGTACCCAATGACAGTAGAGTAATGGGGGTCCGGGTGGGTGTCGGAGTGGAATCCTCGGTGTGGTACTGGCCATTCTGATCTTGCTTCGGTGCAATCTCCTCGCTAGCCGAGTGAGGACCATCCGTGTCGGCAGATAAGATAGAGGCTCTGGTGACGTCCGATGGGTTGAGGTCGCTCAATAACGGCATAGGGGGAGCAGGTGCGAGGAAGTCGGAGGAAGCATCGTCATCATAATCCTCATACTCATTGCCAGCAGAATTCCGCAACTCACGTCTTCGCCTCCTACTGCGGTTCTCTCCAGGAGATTTGAGACCGTCATGGGCAGCAGCCGCACCGGCAGCAGCAGTCTTTAGACGGTCAGCGCTTCCCGTGGGGCTGTGGTCAATATCACGCACATCGCTTCTCGTGTCTTGGCTGAGGGCACTTTGTGCCGGACTCTCATCAAAGGCATTGCGGGCTTCTCTGTCTCGCTTCTCAATCTTGATGGGCTCCTTGGGTGTGGGAGTGGTGCCCGAATTTCTGTCAGCTCTAGACGTCCGGCGCCTATCGCTGCCCTCATCCCTAGAAGCCGTGGTCGCACTTGACGTCGTCGAGGCTGCCTTACGATCCTGACGCAAGCTCTGCTCTCTCTTCAAGGCATTGAGTTCTGGAAGAATAAGGCGACGAATGGCATCCTCTACTGTCTCCAGAAGCTTGGGATTGTTGATGGAGGAGGCCTTTGACTGACCTGAGCGCATTGACTCGGCACCCACGGAGCGTTGGCTGGGAGCTGCAGTCGAAAGCATGCTTGAATCCGCTCCCGATACCATGGAATCGGATTGCTTGGATCTCCTACGTGGGGACTCTGAGCGCTTCGAACTCCTTTCCTCTTTGCTGAGACTACTGGTCCTGCTCTTAGTCGACTTGTGGAGGCGGTTATTACTGCCGCTCTTCTCTTTATCGCCGCGCGTCTTGGTCACCGATACCTTTTCGCGCTCTCCGCGCTCGTACTCTCGATTCCTGCTCTCATCTCGGCTCTTGGTACGGAGCTTGTCAGTAACTGCAGCAGCTGTGATACCAGTAGCAGCGCCAGCAAGGGCATCCCCGCCGCGCGAGGGGCTCATGCTCCTGGAGCCAGGGCTCTTGACATCCGAGTTCTTGCGGGATACGTAAGGCTCGTCAAGGAAACTGTCGCTCGGGATTGCCGAGATGTCGCTCGTGTTGCCGGCATTGTAGCTATTTTTGCTATCAGCAGATGGGATCAAAGGGCTGGCAGGGCGGCGGGCGCGTCGGTTGGCGCTACGTTCGCTTCGTTCGCCGATTTCGATCTCGATATTGCGACTGACGCTACTCTCCTCAGTGGCAGAGGCGTACGAATTGTTGTCTTCGTCGGCCCCGCTCAAGACGGACATCAACTCATTTTCGCTACGGGCAAGGGCGCTTTGGGAATGGCGATCGGCGCGGCGGCTCTGGCTCGATCTCCTCGTTGACTTTGCTTCTGTTATTTCAATGCGACCTCGACTGGAACCGCTGCTTTTGCGATTGGACTTGTGGCTTGGCGTGAGGCGAACACGTACGCTGGGTTTGCGCCCGTCTCCAGATGGGGCTCCTTTTCCTCCTTCGAAATACTCGATCAAAAGCGAGGTTTGCGATTTGCCTCGATTGTGTGTCTTGATGGTGACCGGGGTGCCGTCCTCAGGCAGCGAGTAGGATGACTTGTCCTCGGTTCCCAGCTCGCTCTGGGTTGGGCTCATTATCGACGATTCGGTTGCGCTGGGCACGGGTAGTGGTCGCTCGGACGACTTCTTTTTGGTTTCGACACCCATGTTGTCAGTGTTGGGCGTCGCGGTTGGAAGGACGAGATGGTTGGGTTGGCCAAGCTATCGAAGATCAGACGGTCGTCTAAGCGAGCCTAGTGGGCCTTGCCGCAGCTTGAGTATAGCGCAGCTGTTCCCCCGCCAGTTCGGTTGCCAAATCCTGTTCCTGTTCTTAGAAAAGCAAGGCTCTTCCCGGCAATTCGGTGGAGGGTGGGAGCGGGTTGCAAAAGGGCGAGATAAAAGAAAGAGAATATGGGTAGTATTAAAATGAGGAGGAAAACAAGATAGGGCGCGAGGGGTATTATGATGGTTCTGTCGACGAATCGAAGCTGCGCGGTCTCTCTATTCGTTCCGTTCAGGGCGACATCTGGTTGCGGGAAAATCTGGTGGTCAGAGAAAACCTGAGAGCTGGACCAACGAAATTAGGGTAAGCTGCTGATTCGTCTCGTAGAAGCTTCAGAATGGCAAACCCCACAGATTGGTTTGACTTGGGGGACGCCAACTGAGAAGCGGCAAGATGCAAGATGCGCGAACAGGCCTGTGGAGGAGGAGAAGGAAAGCTGGATGGGATCGATGGAGAGGAGAGAGGGAAGTGGAAGTGGAAAAACCTAGACTAGGCGCGTCGCAGTCCCAGTGCAGTGCAGTGCAGTTGCAGGCAGTGTGATTGAGGTGATGGCACATACGGGCTAGGCAAGGGGAACATGGAACCTGAACCCACAATAGGACGGGATGACAGGGCAGGGCAGGCGGGGAGGCAGGCTACGCTACTAGGAAGCGACAAGGTAGGCGGCGGTGCTCCGTCCCGTGAAAATCGAGAGGCGGCGCAATACCCAGTCCTGCCCTGTACTTCCTTGACCTGGAAGGGACCAGAGGACCGACCCCCATGTTTCCATCCTTGGTAGAGGTAGGTAGGTAGATGCTGTGGTGAGGCAGCAATGGGACAGCCCTTTTGAGAGGACAATTCAGCCCGATGCTGACACGACGGAGGCATAGGGGTGTTTGTTTGGTTTTGTGGCTGTAGACATGGGAAGACGAGGAAGGAGAGGATATCAACAAGAGAACAGAGGTATATCAACGGCACGTACCAGATGGAGGTCGCCAAGGTACGTTATCGTCCTCAACTTGTGCTATGCGCTTGTAGCTAGAGGTATAAGGTAGCTCGGCCAGGGTGGGCTGACTTTAGGGTTCCAAGCGGATGGGAAGCAAAATGCCCGTCTCGTCGTGTCGGAGATCTAAGTATGCTATGTTTTGCGTGCTGCAGGCCTCAAAAGTGGTCGGTCTAGTAGTTCGTCGCATGCAATGGAAGCGTGTGTCGCAAGTGATCATTCAACAGTCTCCGCTCGTTCGGGTGGAGGTGGATGCGATCGATATATTCGAAGCTACCCGCCAACGTACAAGTATATCGGGTAGGGCAGCAGCAGCAGCAGGGGAAGCACACAAAAAAAAAGATGGTCCTAGAGAGCGGGAAAGGCAAGGCACCGTCCGTCACTGGAACCTGGGAATCTGTTTGCAACCCGACCTCCCGACTTGCTGCTGTGGATTTGCGACTGGCGACCGGCGACTGGCGTGTGCGTGAGAGGGGGGGAAAAAAGAAATAAAAATCATAAAAAGGGACTCTTTGACGCCTCTGGATTGGTGCTCAAGAGAGGAAACCTAAGCAGCGAGGGGCCATTCGGTGGTGGACTGGTGAGAGGGACGAATGAGCGGTGGGAGTCAGGGAGAGGAGTCCAAAGAAGTCGGCGCCCGCGTACAGTAAGTAATATTGGGAATACATACGGGAACTGGACTCACCCACATGGATGGATATAATTCCCGAATGAATACAACTAAGTCAGGTCACTGTCACCAGCCCACGGCCTTGGTTCCGTTTCATCCATCCCGTCACGTCTTCCAGTGTCCTGAACGGTCTTCTTTTTCCTGTTCTTTTCTTTCCATTCCCTTCCTGATCTCCCCCAACTGCCCGGCGCCGAATCCCTCCATGGCGGCTTGGTTCGCCTAGGTTTGCCCGACGACGGCCGGCCTTGCTTGGTGTGCTGGCCATGCTCGACGGCTATCGGCCAATTGCGCGTGGGAGGCAGGGGTGCTATGAGGTGCCTTGCTGCAGCGTTATGCAGCTCAGCTCCGTCCGCCTTCGCCTTCTATTTCACAAGAGAATTGGGCAGGGCAGTGACATAGTGAATGGATGAATGGAAATCGATTCGCTGGGAAGCTCAGGCTTAAAACCGGTCATTGTGGTACAATTTTCTCCCTTCCTGTCTCTGTTCCTGTTTCTGTCTCTGTTTCTTTTTCTTTTTCTTTTTCTGCTCTGCTCTGTAGTTACCTATCCCTCGGTCAATTCTTCAATCCCTTCTTCACGACATCTTCAACCACCTCCCTCCTTCCCGCCTCCCTCCCTGCCCATCGGCCCGGTTGATGATTAATACACCATATCAAAACAGGACAAGAACAACTGAACTCCCAACCACAAGCCAGAAACTAACTGAACTTGGGGGAATGACCGGGTTCCCAAAAAGTAAAAAGTAAAAAGTAAAAAAAAAAGTGGACCCCCGACGGCTGGGGACCACCGAAGCCGCATCCCAGCCTGCTACCAGCCCAGGGCAGAGCTCTTTGCATTCAGTGAGCCAAGGTCAGGGAACAAGGGGGAGGTGTTGATCAGCTCTTCGGCAGCCATTCCGCTTCGGAGCTTGTCCCGTTTCCCGTCTTCACCTCCGTCTCTTCACCGTCTCAACCTCGGCTTGCCTTGTCCTACCGGTAAGTACTCGGGCCCAAGAAAAGGAATCGAAACGGTAGCCCCACAATCCATGTGGTCAACAACACTTGCGCAGGCCTCCAGATTCTACGAGTTTAGTGCAGGCTGTTACCTATTATTGATGTGATGCTTGCTGGTGACGATGTTGGTTACCTCCCGTCCTGCTTGTTGCTGCTGCCGCGGCTGATAACTTGAGCAAGCAAATACCTAGTCCAGCCGGAGGTAGGGTAGGTAGGTAACTGCGGCCAGGTACCGTCACTATCACACTCACTATCACTCACCACAACACCGGAAAGCCAGACCTCAAGATCAGACAAAGATCACCGATAGATTGTCCCAACTGCCCTGATTCTTTGCATATATCTTGGTGCCCTTGTTTAAGTTGGCTTGGGTGCCAGTGGTTCCTGTCTTGAACTGTAATGGTCCCTCCCCACGTTTTTTTTTTTTTTTTTTTTTTTTTTTTTTTTTGGGATCGCTGCCCCTCACGTCGTTCGTTGGACCTTGTTCAGTCAGGTACCCTATGCTTGGCGCTAATGACGTCGTTAGTTACCTCTATGAAACACCATACACATAAACCATGGTCTTGATGAAACAGCGAAACTCTCCCTTCAGAGTCAAGCCTACCCGCCTGACCCGACCAAAAGTTGCAGATACTTGTATGTAGAACTAACTATCCACTAGCAGTCATGTGTCGTGTGTCGTGTGTCGTGTGTCGTGTTTCGTTTGCGAACTGCATCTTCTACTTAATACTACGTTTCGTATAGTGGTGCCAGGGCTTACAGCGAGGATCACCACTGCAATGACCACATCTCCTCAAAACCCCCTCGCATGCCTCAATCGATATTCACTGAATGAGGGGCTTGCGAGACACACGACAACCGGGAGTCTGGGATACCGAATGCTCCGGTTGAAGATGATGATTACTCCTCATCAACCTAAAGTCAAATGCTGAAACAACGTATATTTATTTCCAAGGTTCGTGGCTGCCCCGTGTTGAATGTCTCATATTCTAGTAGGTCGGCTGGTAAAAAAGCTAAGAAGGGACGGAGAAAAACGCATATCACCGGAATTATCATCCTCCTACTTAGACAGGAGTTTCACTATATGCCCGACGTTCCATGCCATACATACTATTTAGTATAATAATAACAACCTTGAATTTCTGATGTAAGACTTGTATTTCTCGAGTTTCTTCCCATTTTACTCCCATTCACGGCAAAATGAAAAAGTTGAATGGGCAAAAGTATTGCTGCGCTGCTGTAATCCATTATATGTATGTGCTGATTGACATGCTACAGCTTCTGTGATATGTTCAAGAAAAAAAAGGTCGTGTACATTTGAAGCCTAAGAGACCTCTGACGTTCGATTGTATCAGGTTTGAAAAGAATTGTGTAAATTGTAAACCTAAGGCTAAATATCGAAGAACAGGCATCCTCCAAACTGTTATGTTGACATCTGAATAGATGCAAAAAGCGGTTGTGGAAAGAATGAATTGCGCTAGTATGTAGCGTGTTCCCTTAACTGTGGCTCAAACTCTATGGCACGAGCAACAAGCATAACTGAATTGTGAGGAAAAGAAAAACCAACTGAGAAAGCCTTGCGGAAAGACCTTAATCTAGATGCAAAAAAAAAAAAAAAAAAAAAAAAAAAAAAAAAAAAAAAAAAAAAAAAAAACCTCCTGTTGGAAACTAAGAATGCGTGCAAAAAGGAATCCAATAACAATGCCACCTAACGCTGTCGTCTATCGTTATACCAACACATTCATCCCACTTTCCTCACTCATCCTGGTATCCTTCAGCTGTAAGCTACCTCTACCTTCTCCTGTTAGTCCTGACTATAAACTCCACATCCGCACCCTCCAGAACCTCCCTAACCGCAGGGTTCTCAATATATTGCGTCGCCAAACCGCCACCAAGGATCGTCTTTAAGGTCTCCATCCTAGCGTGTGTTGACCACGTATCAATAATCAGAATCTGGTTGTGAATGCGTAGCTTCTCACGATATCCAAATTCGACAAAGCCATCCTCGCCTCCGGCACCTGACTCCATCCTGGAGCCTCCCGTGTGGGGATTCGCCGAACTGCGACCAGCAGTCGAATATCCCGGACCCAGGCCACGTTCCAAAGAGGTGATGATACTTTGGAAGTTGGTCTTTAGCTGTTTACGGTTCAACTTTGAGACCGCCTTGGAAGAGTCACGGACAATCTCCGCCATGCGGGTCATGATTCTGTGCTGGTTGTACTGCAAGTCTGAGCTCTCGCCCGTCTCTTCTTCGTCGTCGCGGGCAGCTTCAAACAGCAGGGCAATGTTGACGCCGGCACCGATTTGCACGTCACTGTCTGTGCTGTCCAGTTGCTCCATGAAGGCCTCCATGGCTTGGTCGCGCTGCACGCTCAAGTCGTCCATGTAGCTGGCCACAAACCCCCAGGCTTGGAGAGCTGCTGCTACGACGTTGCCGTTGTCGGGAGCACCCACACTCTGGCCGTCGCTTTCTATGATTTCGAGTAGGAAGTCAAGAACTTCTTCGGCGGCGCTGGATGAACCGCCCCCAAGTGACACGGCGATACTGATGGCGTTGATAGCCTCGACCTTGATCTTGTCTTCCTCGCTGTCCTCACAGGCTACCTTGAGTGCGGACCAGACGTGATCGAATATCGCGTCCGAGGGGCAGTTAAGGATGGTGACTGCAAGTGCTTGGAGAGCGAGCAGGCGTTCCTGATCGCTGCTTCCGCTTCTGATGCTGCGGAGGAGGGCCGCGTGGATGTCGGAAATGTTCTTCTCAATGTGCTTTTGTGCAAAGTGGTGCTTCAAAATGTGTGTATATGCCTTCAGCGTAGCCTCGCGGCCCTGAACGCTGCTTCTCTTGCGATCTTGAAGTTCGGCAATACGGTCTTGCAACCTCTCCGGCCACGTATTGCTTGTATCGTCCTCGTAAACATCCTCCCCGGTTACCGAGTTGGCGCTGCTGATAGTCATGGCGTCATCGAAGTCGTATTCACTAGCTCCATCCTCGGAGGGGACACGACTTCCAGCTCGGGATCCCGCTGTTGAGGGTGCCCGTGAGCCGGGCCGCGAGCCGGGCCGCGAGCTTGCGGGAGAGCCATTGCCGGGAGAGAGAGTGCCGCCAGAGCGTGGGGCTTCGGGCCGCGCTCTAGCCTTTCGAGAAACGGTCTTGCCACTTTCCAAAAGGGCTTTTTTGCGTAGATCGTGCATGGTGTTGGGTGTGTGCTAGATGAAGCGTCTGTTCGGCAAGAAATATGGGATTCTTGGTTTAGGTGGTCGTCGGGGTTTGTAATTTCGATCGCTTGCCGTGCAAGACTATTACTTTTCAGGTCGGTGTATGGGAGGTGAATGGTTGTTGTAGTTGTTAATGGCAGTTGCTGACTTTTCGAATGAGTAGGTCGTTTTCAGCATACAATCCATGAGATACGGGAGGGGGTGCTTTTTTATAAAGTCGAAGGTAGGACTGTGCCGTCGTCGGAATTTGAAATTCGGAGGCAAAGTTGGTTGGATGAGACGGCAGATGATTATTTTCCCTTGCTCGTGACGGGAAAATATTTGTTCTTGTAGAGGAAAAGAAAGGGACAATTTCAATTCCATTTGTGCGGATCAACAACTGGAACTGCAGTTTTCGGGACCCCGTCCACTGCAGGGCCCGGGAACGAATGACGCATGACGCACTGAGGCGGGCCCAGAAGACCAAGGGCACGGTGGTCAGTGGCGAACGGTACCCGGAGCCAAGACCTTAGCTACGATTTAATGCTCGGCCCATCGGATCTGTTAAGCCGTGACGATTTCTGATGTCCTTGCAGTTCAGTTCAATTCAGTTCTATTCTGTTCTGTTCTGCCATGTCATGTCCCTCGGGGCAAACATCTTCTTCCTGCTTTGAATTATTGTTCCCTGGTTTGGGAACCTACATGGCATTGTGACTTGTGACTCAATCAAACATGTGCTGATATAAGCCTCTTTTAAGTATCGCTGGAGCTCCGCGCAAGCATTGGCAACGGTACTGGTGCAAACTAAGGGCTTATTTTTTGTACGATAGGTGTAGAATCGAGAGCCAAGGTAAGGTCCCTCGTTAGCGCTATCAATATCAGTGACATATGGACTTACAAATGTTTCTATTGTCCCTCATTGGTGTGTTTGGTTTGAATTGGCAACTCGAGGGAACACCATTATTTTGGAAAGGTGTGAATCTTGTGCCAGTCCCTCCATGCCCGTCGAATGCTTGCTTTGGTTGTCCTTGCCATCCATCTCGTGGGTGTGGTTTAAGTGCTTGCATATGAACCATGGACGCACTAACCAAAAGAGGTTAGGACTGGATCTTCCAGCTGTCACTGAGCACCTTTACGGCCTGGGGAAGCATTTAGTGTAAAATCATCCGAGCCCAACACGAACGTTCATCATCAACCTTCAACATACCTATGTACACGTCTTGGTCAATCCCAAAAAAGCAGGGAAATCAGACGTATGCTTCCCGTAGGTTAAGAAAGAGCAGCACTCGATGTGGTTTGTGAAACGGCAAAAGGTGCTGTCTTGGATCGGTGAAATCCCCTTCTGCCTGGGTCCTTGCAAGCGATAAGATACCGACGCCCCTCTTCCCCACCAACGTGCCGTCACTCATGAGCTGCCCGCCCCTTGTCCGCCCTGCTCTCCCTGCTCTTCTTGCTCTCCCCGGCCCTTTCGTTTCCAGCAAAGCCAGCAGCAGCTCCGCATTATCCGCACTCCGTAGCTCTCCCGTCCAGTCCCATTAGGTCGTCGTTCACATGCGAACAGGAGTGGGGCATCATGAGTCTCAGCTAACGACAACTCGTCGGCTTTTCAAACATGATCAACATTGGAGTCAGTCGATTGCAAGCCGCCCAGATGATGAATACCACAAGGGTATTGGATCGTCAGGAATCAATACCAGCGGGTGCTAGATTGTTGCGAGGGGTCCAGTCTGACTCAGTTGTCGCCCGGCTCATTGGCAAACGAACGAAGGGACCAAAGGGAGGGGAGGGGGGCAGGTCGGAGCACAAATAGGTAGATCCGACGGAAAGAAGTCAAGCTTGTGTAACCGCATATGTCCGTCCATTCCCACTCGATGTCTGCCCGCCTGCTGGTAGCCTGGTGCCTCGCAAATGCGGTCTAGTTGCGCGGCTCCAGTACAACTTCCATGGCTCGAGGGCTTCCACCAAGGTAAACGGCATGGTGGACGAAGGAAGAGCGCTGTGATCTGCTGCCACGAAGCACGATAATCAAGACAAATCATTTCATTCACGTTGGTATCACCAATGGTAACGAAGTAAGAGACAGCCGAGGAGAAGCTGCCCAACACCTACTGTGACCCCTAGAGGTAAGTAGAGGTAGGTAAGTGCTTAGTAGGCGGACATGGCCAGATCGATAGGTCCTAAGTCCGGGTCGGTGTATCAGGCAGCCCCCTGGCCCCGCACTTTCGCTATCTAAGGAGGAGTGCTCTTTCCCATTTGAGGTGCAAGTTGGCGGTCGCCTGGCAAGCACCCTTGAAAGTGCGACTACCGAATCCGTCTCTCTTGCCAGTCGCAACCTCCTTTATTCAACTGAACACAACGAACCAACCCAACTTATCCATTTCGATTTGAGTGTTCCTCCTATTCCTTTTCAAACATCCAGCTACAACTTAACCTCTTCTTGAACACTGAAGACCATCCTGCTGCACTCGCTGCGAGAAACAACCATTGACCCCGCGCTCCAGCTGCAGTCTGCAGCTACCTACCTCTACCTCTGCGTTGCTGCGTCTTGTTTGGACATCATTCCTTCACCTGCACCAGACCTCGAGTTCACATCGACCCAGAGAGCACGTTTCACCCCACCATCACTGCTCACTCACTGCACGCACTTCCAACTCTCTCACATCCTCGGCTCGGTCTGTGCTGCTTCTGACATCGTATCTGGTACTGCGCTCTGCTGCCTTGGAACGCTTTCTCAACACACCAGCAGTCCGGAACCTCGGGTATCACCTCTTCTGCGGTTGATTGACCCGCCTCGAACAGGAATTGTGCAGCTACCAGGGCAGTCCGGTGTTCAGCCTGACAAGAAGCAGGATCACTACTTGTTTGACCCCTCCAAGGAAACGGTGTAACGACTGCATCTTTCGCACATCCACAATGTCCACGAACTCTGAGCCGGCCTCGACTGGCAACTTACCTGGTACGTCCATTCAAAACCTACTCATCAGGGCTAGAAACCCCTCCTTCCCCTCTTCTCCGAGTCCCCAGATGGTTTGGTGCTAACTTATTACCAGCTATCTCAATCTCCTTAACTCAGCATCCTTATACTGACCATCCGTTTTCGCGACGGTACATCATCTTGGACAAGCAGAATCCGACATTGAAAATCGGCCGCTCTTCCAAACTAGCTGCCAAAGGATTTGTACCAAGTCCACAGAACGGCTGGTATGACAGCCCGGTGATGTCTCGACAGCACGCTGAGATCATCGCTGATTTTACCCAGAAGGTTGGCTTACTCCTCCCTCCCCAGCGGGCGCATCTACCAATTCCTTTGCTAACAGGTAATGGCTATCTTGCAGCGGCTGAAACTGCGGGACCTTGGGTCGCTCCACGGAACGTACATAAATGAAAGCGACCAGCGACTTGAAAAGGACGAGCAGGTCGAGATTAAGGACGGCGACAACATTCGCTTCGGTGTGGATGTCATGAGAAAAAAGACGTTTCCCCCTACAATCGTTAAAGTAGGTCTAGAGTATGTCGAGGTCCCTAAAGCGCAGCTAGAGCAAGGCACTACTCGGTAAGTTTCACAAACCCAGCAGACAGCAACATAACCTCAGACATGGCTTCTCGCGCAGTCATCGAGCAAATGCTTCGTTGCCCTTATTCTTACATTAGACGATGCTAACAGGGAATAGTCCGAGGGCTTCAAGTACATTCAAAGTCCCCGACGTATCAGACTCCGACATGGAGTACCAGGACGAGGACTCGAACATGGAGCCGCCGGGTACCCAATTAGCGGCACGTGGGCTGTCGGGGCGAAGTTGGAAGGGTGAAGTAATTGACCTCACTCACCCTGTTGGGTCTGGGAATGTCATCACAGACCCTCGGAAACAGGTTATCAATGTGGACCAAGATGATAACTACGAGAACAACTGGGGCCAGAGTGATAAGATCAACGACTCCCATCAGAATCACGACTCGCACTCAAAGTCAGACATTGCCTCCATACCATCTCCGAAGAGTCCTATCGGCAGCAACGACAGCAGCTGTAGCAATTATGGATCAAGTGGAGAGGATATTTGGCCTCAGAACGTCGGTGCCCTTCAACCCACTGCATCTGAAGCTCCCAACGCATCTCTACATGTCTCTCTATCCCAACACCCCGTTCTATCGCAGTATTACGCTGCACTTGATGATGATGATGATGATTGGGACTCTGAGATGAGCTCTGATTATGAGCCAGAGTATGAGCCCGAATCCGCTAATTCGGAAGTGAGTGGAGGAGATTTGAATGGTGGTAAGTGTTGATTGAAATCCGCAAATGGGTTTAGTTGTTAACCATGTCAGATGGCGATTCCTCTGAAAGAGGCTTTGAATACGATTACCCATACTCTGAGTCCGATTCGGATTTTTCCGCTGGCCAGGACTCAGATGCAGAGTCAGAGGCAGAAGGAGTTTATGGCAGGGAGCCTTCTAGCAACTGGGCCATGCCAGACTTCAGCAACGTTGTGACTGGTCCATCACCTATCATTTACAAGGGCCATAGCACGGCTCGCCTTGTCACTCCAGATATCAAGGACGATGTCATTGATCGCGCTATCCCTCAAGTCAATTACGCCACTCCTGCGGATATTCGGCCAGCATCGTATCCTGTCGATTCTCCATTGTTTCTATCCTTCACTCATCCTCGCGACGTTCAGCTGGCTACTCCCAGGTCAAACAAGTCGGCGGGAGATATCGATGACACTTCTCCAATCAATAAACCACTAAATGGACCTTTGGTAGAAATGGAAGAAGCTCCCTGGTATCCATCTGACAAAGCAAAGTTCTTTGAGGCTCGGAAGGAAAACAGGATGACCATAATGCAGTCTTCGCCCGTCACTAGGGAGTATTCACGCCTTGCTATCTCCGATATTATGGATGAGAATGCCCCAGTTGGCAAAGGAAAGAGAAAGGCAGAAGCCATTTCGTCTAACACCGAGGAAGACCTTGCATGGCAAGCTAGCGAAGTACAGAAGTCCGAAGCAAGTGGCGAAAACGAGAGAGAGGAAGTACAGGAAGTCATGGAGGTTGACAAGGACGTGGAGGTCGGCGATTTGATCGAACCTTCTACTGAGGCAGCGACAGAAATTGCAATGACAGTTGAGTCGCTCGATTTGCCTGTCTCGGTCGTTACATCGACTGTTCGCCTTGACGATGACGACGGCGATAGACCAACCAAGAGGCAACGGTTGCGCAATATTGCCGAGCGGGTCGGCTATGTTGCTCTCGGAGGTGTAGCTACAGGTGCCATGATGTTCGGCGCATTGGTTTATACTGCACCCACCTTTGTCTGAGTTTTGGCTTACGGTTTCGTTTTTCGAGGCATCTATGGACAGCTTAACCAATCCTGGAAGGTTGAGGAGACCTTGCATGGCTGAGGAGACATTGGACGGTTGAGAAGGTGGAAGGATATGGGTATGGGGATCTTGGGTTTTGTCAATGTCTTTGTTCGGATTCTATATGGGCACAACTTGTTGGCTGTTGCACTTTCACATGGTCTTTCTCTGTTGGTTTTCTAGATGCACTGGTTTTGCAAACAGTTCGATGGTATATTCCCCATTAATTCTTGGTTCACTCTGGCGAGTATCGCTTACAAGAACAAGGACGAGGACAAGAGCGCCATGGCGGACGATCCCTACCTGGTGTTGTCAATGGTACCAAGTCGATTACTTGAATGGCTTCTCGGTTCTAGGTTACTATACGCAAACCATTGTATGGTCACCATCGCAAGGGATCTTGGGTGCTCAGGTATCAACCACTGTAGTCTAGCGTCGAATGGTTTTTGAGTTAGCACTACTGTCCCCGTTCTTGTTGTCTATTTTGGGTGTCTACTAACACTCGCATGATATACCAATGCTGGATTTCCCAATTGTAAACTGTCACCTCGTATCTTAATTAGAAATGGTAGATCCGATATGATACCTCGAGTGTATCTTCGGCTTGCTTTCTTGAGCCAGAAGTCATCGAAGCTGCAACGGTGCCATCTCTCAAGGTTATGTCATTGAGAGAAGTTGCAAGCAGAGGAAGCTAACAATCAAAGATGGATAATTTAGGGGAACCAGGAAATGAACAGGCCAGTTCGTGCCTTCGTGAGCCCCTTTTCTCCCTTTTGAAAGGTCGAGTGTTTCCCTCCCGGCCTTGAGTTATGCTGCTTAGAGGTATTTACATACCTATCAATGAAACAACAGTTCGAGACGGGCCAAGTTTAAACTAGAGTGTAAGGCCATACGAAGTGTATCATTCATGACCGTGATATCGACCAATATATGTGATCATCATTTAGTAACCTGAACAATCAGGCGGAAATCATCTTGAATATCTCCAGCAAAGCTAAAGCACAAATCCTCCTTTAGCCACAAAAATAGTAACTAGTCCAGGCTGAACAAGTAAGTGTACGTCCGGACCACAACAGAGAAAAGACTTGGATAGACTACCTAGGTAGGCAGGGGAGAAAAACACGAGTGTCTTTCATCAGTATCACACCCAGTAATACCAACTGTTGCGACCAATATTTGAGGCAGGTAGTGTTGGATATTCCTTGTCACAGCCACATATGTGCCCACACAGATTCTGTATCAATGTGTGAAACGGGATAGGATAGGATAAGTATATAAAACCAAGCACCGACTTCTTATATACCGGCCGTAGACATCGGGAGAGATGAAGCGGACTTACGGTGTCGGTTGGTCGCCTTTGGACTGCTTGTTAATTTGTGAAGATGTCTTCTACTAGGTAGCCATAATCGAAAAATGCTGTCCCCCCTTACCATATTGGATATGTGGGGTGAGGGGACAGTATTTTTTGACATAAGTTTACTACTGCTACTGCTACTGCTACTCGCGGTCTGGTAAACAGAGAAACCTTATCGTCCGGCCGGGCCAGCAAGACTTACCTACCTATATTATCCAAGAACTGGTCTTATACAATATGGTGTATACGAAACACCACTTACTCTTCTTACTCGCAGTAGTTCTCCGGTTCTTCATAATACCACTTTTCACATTTTCACTTGTGGTCGCTTGACTTAAGAAGCATGGTAGTAATCATCTTTTCTTGTTTCTTGACAAATCTTCGATAGCAAGTGATATATTAACATTTTGATGTGAAGAAGCTAACCTCCTTCAATGTAACTCGGTCCTTCTTGACTTGGCTTCGCTTTGCTTGTAATAACATGATGTAGCAAACGAAACGCGCTCTTCGTCTTTTCTCGTTCCTCTAGTGACTCTCATTCTAATATGCTGAAAGTCATCCCAAAATCCATTCCTCATTCCTTGAACCCTTGCGCCACCCCATGCTCTCTCCTCAATGATGCACAATCAAGTTTATAACCGCTTCTGCAACTCCCCTCAATCATGCCTAAAAGTGCACTTGTCACCCTTCGCACACTTTCCCTGCGCCCAAAACGTGCACTGCTTCGTGCCAATCAGACTGCGGTTAATGCCCCTGAGATGATCCGGCACTTCATCGCCGTTACGATCACCGCGGTTCTTTTTGTTCTTCCAGTGGGGCTTATCGCCGCGATGATGTCCTTGTTGCTGTTGTTGATCACGTCCGTCACGTCCGCCATCACGACTGTCGTTACGTTCGCGGAAGTTTTCGCGGCCTCCGTGGTGCGGCTGCTGGTCCCAACCACTGCTGTCGCGGTCGCGAGAGTTAGGGTCGCGATCACGGCTGTCACGAGCGTTGTGATCATAGGCTTGACCAGCTTGATAGGGGTCGTAACCGCCGTGCTGGGCGGCAGGTTGAGTGTGAGGAACGCCGCCTGCCCAATTCATAAGAGAGGTGAGGTACTCGGTCATTTGACGGTCGGCGGGCTGGTTGGGTTGTTGTTGACCACCGCTTGCTAGGGTGGCGATGAGGGCTTGGATCTCGGCGGCTTGTTGGGGGTTGGCGTTGGGTTGGCTTGCGAGAGCAGGCAAGATGGTACTTAAATCGACGCCTTGAGCAGCGAGCTGAGCCATCTGTTGTTGGTAGGCACCAAAGGCGCCTGGCTGCTGCTGTTGTTGCTGTTGTTGAGCATACCAAGCCTGCTGTTGTTGAAGGGCATTCGCATCCGGCTGCTGTCCTTGCTGAGCTTGCTGGGCGTAATACTGTGCCCAGGCTGCGCTGTAGTCTACCGGGGCTGCCGCTGGTTGAGCAGCCTGAGCTGGAGCTGAAGCTTGAGCCGGCACAACAGGAACTGCCGGAACAGGTTGTTGCTTGACTTCAGGGACTGTCCGCTTAACATACTCAACGATTTCTTCCACATAGTCTGCAGCCTTCTGAATGAGAGGATCTGTGTAATCGCGACGACGTACTGTCTTGGGACGTGCAGGATCGTAAGGCTCCGGATCACGGTAGTACCGGACCCTTTCAGAGGAAATGAGCTCGTACGTTCGCTGATCACGAACCTCCGGCGGCTCGTTTGTGACAGGCACGATGATAGGCGGAATGCCCTCAGGCCTAGCCGCAGCAACGGGCGCCACGTGCACGGCGGTTGGTTGCTGTACAGGGATAGGATACCCGGCATACGGGCCGGTGATCGAGTTAAGCGACTTCATCGTCTCGGTGAAGTCAGCAAAGCCTGGGCTCGACTGAGTCTCCAGCCGAGCCTTGGCCTCATAAACTGAACGGTGAGCACCAAAGTTCTTCAAATCGGTAGCTCTGCGACGAAGCTCATCATACTCCAGACCTGCAGGCAGCTGAACATCAGACCCGGAGCCGTCATCAAGCGAAGGCTCGTAAGCAGGCGACTTAGGCGTAGGCGGAATATCCGATGGGTCTGTGTAAATGACCATGAGCTCCTTGGCTTCCCGATCGTCCATGAACGCCTGTTGTTCGGTGCGGAAAGTCTTCACGCCACCCATGGTGACATAGCTTTCCTTGCGCACCTCCTCCGAAAGAACTTCCAGATCAACCGAGTTGGGCTCCTCCCAAGGGCGAAGCTCACCCGCATGGCCCTTTTTGAGTGCCATGCCTTCACGCTTGTCCTTGCTATCTGATCGGACATCGCGAGACTGGCGGTGGCCCATCTCTTCAGGAAATAGGGTGTACTCCTTGATCTGGCATAGTTGGTCGTCGCTCTTGAAAACGACCCTCATGTTCTTTCTCCTCCGCTCCTCCTTCCGCAAGCGGCGCCTCCTCTGTTCTTCCGTCTCATTCGGGTCAGGGGCGGACTCCGCCGGAGGTGTTGCGTCTGCTATCACCTTCCTGGGTGCAGCAATCTCATCCATGAGTGCCGCAAACCTAGAGCTGGTCGGTGGCTCTTCCTTGGGCTTTGTTGCCTTCGCCGAGTTGCCAGCTGAGGATACCGCCTGAGGGGCATTGGATTTTATCGCAGACAGCGCGGTAGATGGTTTTGCAGAAGCTGCCTTGACCAGCGGTTTCGCTGGTTCGGCCTTTGAAGGCTCTGGTTTTGGGACTGGCTTTGCTGATGGGCGGGCCTTGCCAGGAAGCAGATAAGAAGCACGGGGTTTGGACGCGGTCGTAGCAGGTGTGGTAGCCGATGTTTTAAGAGCTGGTTTGGCTGTAGTTGGAGGCGTCTTTGAACCAGGAGATGGGGCTTTGACATCGCTAGTAGACTTCGAGGTGGCCGTCACCCGAGGCTTACCATCTGTAGAAGGCTTCTTGGCCGTGCGTGCATCACCATTGGTATCATCCTCACGAGCTCTCTTGGTTGTTGAGACTGTTGTCTTGGCAGGAGTTTTCTTAGCATCGCTGCTAGCCTCTTTCTTTGACTTGGCCGCAGGACTTTCCTTCCCAGCGTTCTTTTCGGCATTTGCAATGATAGTTGCGACCAACTCATTGATCTCAGGATCACCCAGCCCCTCAAGCTTGCCTTTTGTGGTTTGGAATTTCCAAGCCTCAAGTTGCTCTGGCGTAAGGCTTGTAAAGCAACCAAAGAGGCGAAGAGCGGCCTTGGCCAACGATGAGGTAGCCTCGCCAAGGTTGAAGAGTTGGATCAGAAGATTGAGTAGACGAACGGGCAGTATACCCCTTTCACCCACCATCCGCAGGATTATTGGGTCTCCGACTTTGAGTCCCTCAACAATGGCTGCTTCAAGCTCCGTTTTGAACGGCTGGAGAGACTGCTTCAGAGTCTCAACTGCAGCAGGCTTGAGGGTAGCAGAACCCTTTCCCTTGTTCTTAACATCTTTGACAAGCTTCTCAAATGCTGGTGCAGCCCTTAGAGCAGCAATCTTATCTGCAACAAATGCACCGAATTCGTTACTCGTGTGTACAATCACCTTCCTGTTTTTCTTGTGAGCTGGATGGAGGCGAAGCAGCTCGGATGCTTTCACGGCTGTCAGGGTAGGCTCGGGCGGAGGCGATCCTCGCTGCTTAGCATCCGTTCCAAGTTCACCCTTGGAGAGCTTCTTCCACCAGTCGGCCGGCATCTCAGTCTTTGCTCGTTTCATCTCAATGTCAAGCCTGATATCTGCTCTCTGGCGGTCCAGCACCTCTTTGGCAGTTTGATATGCTTCGGCATGGTTGCTGAGAGACTCAGCAGGAGTCCAGCCACGTTCAAGACCAGGGAATAGAGGGTCTTTGCCCGCTTTCGCCACGATGGTCACGAAACGCTTAGTTGGTGGTCCCTTCTTGAGCTGCACCGGAGATTCATCGATGACGAGATGCGGCACTCCTGGGACAGTGCAACCCGGTGTTTCAATTGCCTTGTCAATCAAATCCTCATCTACGATGAAAAGACCGGCAACATCGCCACCATCGCCTTGCCCATTTACATCCGGTACGAAGCCAGGGTTCGCCGAGTTATTATTTGCGAAGCTAATGACTTGGGGATTCGCGATACTGGAGGCTGGTTGTACCACCTTCGGTTTCTTGGCAAGGGTTTGCATCTCCTGCACATCACCAGGTCGCTTTACGCCCGAGATCACATTATTTTGGGGAGACTGAACAGTCTGTTGTGTAGCCTGAGCCTGAACCACCCGTTCCTGCGCCGGGGCCTGGAACGGTTGGATCTGAACGGGCTGGGACTGTGAGATCGGAACTTGAAAGGCTTGAGGTTGGCTAGGCTGCTGATGTTGGACAAACCCTTGTGGTATTGTCTGATGTTGAGGGGCTTGCGAAATGGTCTGTCCATGAGGTTGCGGTGTGGGCTGCGGCGTAGGCTGTGGTGTCGACTGTGATGGTTGAGCAGTCTGATGAGCGGGCGTCTGCACCATCTGTTGCACTGCAGGCTGGGCCATGGAACGTGGAGCAATTTTAGGTTGGATAGGTTGCGGCACCGGTGGTTGGGCAGGCTTCTGCTGTATAGGTGCGCTTTGAATTGGTGTATGACTTAGTGGGCTGGGGCTGGCCGTGGCTCGCTGCGCGGGGATTTGTGCAACAGAAGCGCGGTTTTGAATATGTTGCCCGTTAACAGTTTGCATAAAGTGAGCTTGATTTGGCTGGGGCTCGGGGGTATGGTGACCCTGGACATGGTGGTAGCTCGTGAGCCCTCCCTGGACTGGGCCATGGCCAGCCTGGTATTGAATGGGCGTGGGCGTCTGCCTTTGTTGTGGCGGCTGCTGCTGCTGCTGCTGCGGCTGCGGTAGATGTAATTGCGGTTGCGATGGCTGTTGTTGCCGCTGAAGTTGTGGGTGCTGCTGACTGACATGTTGCGGCTGATGCTGAGGCGGCTGCTGTGATTGATGTACAACCGGTTGTTGGTGATTTACAGCTTGTGGCATCGCTAAGGGATTTTGGTACTCTCCATTCGTAGCATAGCCTGAGCTCGCCATTGGTACCCTCTGCCATTGCTCTGAGACATGTCCCTGAAGATAGCCATCTGCCGACTGTTGCCTGGGGGGAACAGCGCCATGGGCAAAACCACCTTGAACTACTTCTTGCCTCTCGGGAATCTGAATATGGTGGTTCGAGTATTCGTTCTCTTGTGGGAGGTCAACAAGAGCGAACCGGCTGTCAATTGTGCGATGGTTGCCATATGGGTGCTGCTGTTGTTGTTGTGGTGGTTGTTGGTGGTGGTGCTGTGGGTGCTGCTGGGCAGGTGCATAATGTTCCTGGGTCAATGGCTCCTGAGCATAAGGGGCAGATGCAGGGCTAGGCCCAGTCCATGCCTCACTCTGAGGGTAGTAGTCGTAGTGGCCATAAGCATTTGTTTGCGTGTCATGACCAGCCAGCTGCGGGTTGACCTGCTGTGGAGGGTCAATGAAAGCACCAGGGTTGTGATACACATTTTCGTGCCCATGCTCAGGAGTGAAGGCGAACTGTTGTTCCCATGGATTCTCTGCCGCAAAGGAGTTGGGATCCCATTGCCCGGCGTGGTTGTTGTGGCTGGCGTCCATGACTGGCGAGGACGATGATTGCTGGCTTCAGCTCAAGAGGGAAGAATCCAAACAGACGAAAAAAGGGGCAGCGACGGGCTAGGAGAATCAAGGTGGTCAGTCAAGGGGGCTCATGCGGTGCAAGTCATTCCACCACCGATCCAAATCTACACAACAGACTTGTACGAGAGTGACAAAGTCAATCTAGTGGGAAATTTGGAGCAGAATACTCTCGGTCGAAACTCACTTTGCCGTTGATAGTGGGTGTGTCAAAGCACAAGACAAAGGTGTGCCCTTAACAACCAGTCCGGAAACTGTGTGAAATGAGTGGCTGCCTTGCTACACGGGTGGGGTGTCTCCAATGTCGAGTGGTGGGGCACAGAATGCGCTAGCTGGTCCAATCAGGAAGAATGCCAAGCTGGAAGCGGCTTAGCCTGTGAAGTTCTGCGAGGCAAGAGGAGGGTCAGCGTCAGGTAAAGAGTCCAACTTCAGTTCTGAGAAGTTGCCAGCAGTCCAAGTGTAATGCGTGAACGAGTGGGAGACAATGAGCGAGAAAACCAGCTCGCACATGTCCTGAATGAAATCTGAGAAAGATTTCAGACATGAAAAGAGAAAGAGAGAGAGAGACCCTGAGAGAGAGAATGAGAGAGAGAACAAAAGAAATCTGGAGGGAGCGTTATGCAAGGCCGCCAGCACCAAGCAAAGTCCAGCGACAAGTTAATGTCGATATCGATGTTGATTTACAGGAGAGCGCTTCAGAATGCACTGTTCCCGGTGATAGTGGTGGTGGTGGTGTTGTGGTGTGGTGGTGCAAGTCGAAATGTTGTCGAGGCCGGTTGCCCCTGGTAGCGGCGGGGAAAGCGTTGGCATTCAAGATGGACGTGTAAACAGTGGTCGAGGTACCGTCCAGGGTGACAGCGCAGGGAAATCAACCAAGGTTGCCAGCCGCGGCGGTTGTCTGGAAACCACACGACGCGACTTGGTTGAGCTTGCTGCTAGTTTATTGCTATTCGATGCTCTGGTCGAGTATTCCGCTGCCATGATGTCCACCGTCTCAAATCAAGTAAGTGTTGCCGAGGACACAAAAAGTGAGGTGAGGTGAGGTTTTGTCTTTAATGTGAAACGGATTCCATCAACGGGCCGGCTTGCGCGGTTGAAGTCCCGTCGGTGGGGTTGTCGGGCGTGGATGAGGTGTGCGGGGCTGCGAGCACAGCACCGTTCAAACAGTTGCAGTAGTGCTGTTAAGGAAGTGATATGACCCGCAGGCCTTGGCAGTGCTGTGGGAGTCCCTCAACGCTCGCTGTTCGGAGTGCGAATTGCCCGTAGCACTAACAGCCACCATCCACTCAGGGTTGTCTTTTAGGTTTCTCCCAGGAATTCCAGCCAGGCCAAGGTGTGTGTCTTTGTTGGGCTGCCTGCTTGCCACACAGCAGATGTGAAATCTGGATCTCAGGTTGTGCATGGGACAATTAACCAGGGGGCGAGGCTGATAGATCCGGGTGTCATTGATAGCCATTGCCAGAGGCTCATCAAATGACGGCAGCATATCAATCAAGATGGGATTGTGCAGTCTCTGGATTGCCATTTCCAGGTACTGTTGTTGTTCTCCCCAAGTCGTTGTTTGGTTTTGCATTTCTCCCCGCACATGTCTCTCTCTCTCTCTCTTTGCTCTCTCTGCTCTCTCCCCTCTTTTCACCTGACAGGATTAAACGCAAGGTACTGTGGCAGGTAGCCCAGGTTACTTGTACCGTTTTTGGTCGATGTTGGTGAAAGGGTTTGTTGGCCTTTTGGTTAACACGAACCCCATAATTTGCACTGCAAATCTCGCAATCCTTGACCACTCACAGCCTTAATGACTGCGGGTTCCAGAATGCGTGATTCAACAGGCAGATGCAGGACATGTGATATGGTAAAATACAGTAGTGGTCTTTGTACTTGTTTTTTGAGGTGTTAGGACTGGGGAAGAGGTGAAGATGATGCATACCCTGAATGTGTTCGTCACGATCTTATCGTGGTGTTCTGACGCCTTGGGGCACGTGCTCCTTGTTGGGTGGGTTACGTGTGCCTGAATGCGTTCGCAAACTCGTCACGAATCTCCCCCACGCGTGCGCGGAAGACAACAGCGATGAGGTTATCGCAGTTCGCTACAGCATTTCCTCTCTATCCCGGGTTAAAGAATGGAGAGGTCCCGACCTTGAACTCAGCTGAGCAGGCAGGTAACGAAATTAATCTTCAAAAGCCAGGGCCGCAGGTCGATCGGACGACTGCAGCTGCTAGGGAAAGAGACGAGTTCCGAATGACGGTCGCGCAAGCAGAAAAACGCCCGAGAGGTCAAGAAAACCTGCGCGTTTAAATCGCCTCTACAGCTTTGCCAGAACAGGGAAAAGATGTACGAAGAAAAGGACGCGATTATCAAGTACGACGATGGGCGATGCGACAAGGCGACCAAGGGCGACAAAGTTGGTCGTCGAAGAAAGGAGAGATGCTGCTGATGTCAGGTCAGGGTGACGACGGGAGTTGAAAGGGAAAAAAGTTGAACGTGAGCAGCGGTCGCGCAAATCAGGTGCGTTCCGCCGTTCATAAAAGGGACTGACGCTTTGCGACACTGGGCAAGCGGGTGCATGAGTGCAGTGGGCAGGCGCTTTCTCAACGAGTTGCCAGTGACGGGAGTGCATTGACTGGCTGGCACGCTAGCGCTCACGGGCCGCCGACGCTCGCTGGCACTGGCGGACCACGGGCCTTTCTCCAAAAATGGCCCAGGCACGCAACGAAGTGGAAGTCTGCACACGCGAAGCAAGAGCTTCTGTGGTCTGTGCGCGTGGCAAGTGAAGGTGGAAGTGCCCCTGGGAAGTTGGATTTCTGTAGCACGCTGGCACGATAAGGAAGTACCTGGAACCAAAGAGCCGGCCGTTTGTTGGGTTTTGGGTGGGTCCGCGCCAGCTGGAGGCAGGAATGAGTGGGAAATTGCAGCACTGTTTGTACCTTACCATTTAATCGCTACTTCTAGGCAGGCAGACAGGTTATGGCAGGAGCAGACATACTGGAAATATCTACCTCTAGAGGTACCTATCTTTCTGGACCTTGGGGCTGTCCATCATATACCTCTACCGATATAGGAAGATGAAGAGCAAACAAGAACGGACAACATCGTAAAATGTCAGCGATGACACGCACGGGCTCAATCATCCATTTCTTGAACAATCAAAGGTAAACGCCACAGAGGCAGGAAGATGTCACAACTTGCTGGTTGCGGTGTCAATCGAGCATTGGAGGACGATAACGGAATCCTCGTCATATGTGCTGTGGGGGAAAGCTCTCAGCTCAGGGCGGTACCTCCTGTAAGTGGAGGCCAACAGATATACCTAGAAGGGAAGGGGGAACAGTCCACTGGGAGACAAAGGCCACTGGTCCAAGCCGAGGGAGAGATGTCAGGTACCTTGCGGACCAGAGAAGACAACATACCTCTAGAGGTACCCAAGGTAGCTTCAATGGAGATCTTCTGTTTTCTTCCGTCAGCTTTCTGTATACCTACTATTGAACACGTAAGGATCTTCTGGACTCAGTACTGTAACACCTTGACACGTTTGCCCTTTCGTCTTTAACAGGAAGTTAAGGCACTCTTTCCTTTGCGAAAGCAACGACTCGAGGCCAGCCTGGCGATAATTCGGTTCAAGGGACGCGATCACAAGCCCCACCACTGTGACAGCGAGACGGGAGCTACTACCTTCCCTTGCCTCAACAGCCTACAGTATTCTACAGCACCTCGGACCCGAGTCCTCCTCCACAAACTTCCTGCCGAGCGGCATAGCAATCACTTTAATACACAGACATGGCGCCAACACCAGGGAATTCTCTGCGCGACAAGCAGATCTGTATGTCCCACTGCCTTCCTATCCCCAATGGTCCCGATGCCAGACAGTCTTGCGGTGGACTGACACATGCTCTCCAGTGTCTATCAAGAAGCTCCTGAACCTCAACCAACCCCTCGAACCGACCGACGGCGACGACTCGAATGGCTTCCAATCCGCTTCCGCCCCCTTGCTGAAGGACATTCCCACATGGAAGATTTTGGTTTTTGACGAGCTCGGTCGCAATGTCATCAGCCCAGTACTCCAGGTTTCGGATCTGCGATCCATGGGCGTCACACTACACGTTTCCATTGCGGCCAACAGGCAACCGATTCCTGATGTCGACGCCATCTACCTTATCGAACCGAACGCCAAGAACCTCCAGCAAATCACCAATGATCTTCAAAAGAACCTCTATAACTCTGCCAGCATCAACTTCCTCTCCTCGGTACCACGGCCACTGTTGGAGGACTTTGCGGCGCAAACCGCTGTCGCCGGCACATCGGAGAAGATTGCCCAGATATTCGACCAGTACCTCAACTTTATCGTTCCCGAGCCGGATTTGTTCAGTCTGGGCATGCAGAAGGAGCATACATACTGGGCGTTGAATAGCGCAAAGACACAAGATGAGGAGTTGGACAGAGTTATCGACAGGATCGTCAGCGGCCTGTTTAGCGTGGTGGTGACACTAGGCGTCATTCCCATTATTCGCTGCCCCAGGGGTGCTGCTGCTGAGATGGTTGCAACGAAATTGGACCGAAAACTTCGCGATCATATTATCAACTCCAAGGACAACCTCTTTTCGGCACACAGGGCGGCCGCTTCCAGCACTGGAACGCCAAAGCCCCTGCTCGTTATCATGGACCGTAATATCGACCTAATTCCCATGCTGTCCCACTCGTGGACCTACCAGAGCTTATGCGCCGACGTCTTTGGTTTGTCGGAATCGAACCGGATCACAATCGAGAGCCCTGTGGACTCCAATAACCCGGCCAAGGGTACCAACAAGAAGACGTATGATTTGGCTGCCGATGATTTCTTCTGGGCCAAGAACTCATGCCTGCCGTTCCCTCAGGTAAGCTGGAAGTGCAGACGGGACATCCTGAGGATGGTCTACTAACCAGGATGCTTAGGTTGCCGAGGACATCGACATTGAACTCACGAAATACAAGGAGGAGGCGGATGCTCTCACCAAGAAGACTGGCGTTAGGGATTTGGACCATTTCGAACAAGACTCGAGTGCAAGTGCTCAGCATCTAAAAGCAGCTGTTACACTCTTGCCCGAACTGCGCGCAAGAAAAGCCACTTTGGATATGCACATGAACATCCTTGCTGCTATCCTTGGCGAGATTCAAAGCCGACAGTTGGATAACTACTTCCAACTGGAGGAGAACGTGTTCAAGCAAACCAAGGCGCAAGTGCTGGATCAGATCAAGACGGCGGACAAGGGCAAGCCTGAGGATTACCTGCGTCTCTTTGTGATCTGGTACCTCAGCACGGAACAGGATGTGTCTCGTCAGGAATGGACGCAATTTGAGGAGGCACTCGCGGCCAAGGGCTGCGACACAACGTGCCTCTCTTACATCAAGCAGTAAGTGCTACCCCCTTTTTTTTCCCTTGGACTTTTCAGCCAATCCTGACTAACAATACCACACAGAGTCCGCGCCACGACCAAAATGACACAACTCACCACGGTCAATAATCCTTCATCCTCCAACCAGCAACAATCCGGGTCCTCGGACCTTTTCAATCGCTTCTCTGCCATCTCGAGCCGTCTCACCGACCGTCTCAAGGAGACGGGCGTGCCCACGGGCGCTCTCTCCAATAACGTGGCCTCTCTCTTGGGTGGCATCAAGAACTTCCTCCCCGAAGACCGCGACCTCACGGTAACCAAGATCACCGAGTCCCTCATGGACCCATCGGCCGCCAGCTCCTCGGCCATCGCCAAGACGGAACACTACCTCTACTTCGACCCGCGCAGCGCCAACGCGCGCGGCACCATGCCCCAGCCGTCGGCCATGCGGGCCCAAGGGAGCGGGTCGTCCCTGGGCGGTCCCGGTGGCTTGCCAGGATCAAGTGGCCCGGGCCAAACGGCCAGTTTCGGGCAACGCAGACAGGGGTTCTCGGAGGCGATTGTGTTTATGGTTGGCGGTGCGAGCACGGCCGAGTATAGCAATTTGCAGGAGTGGGCGGCGAGAACGACGACGGGAGATCGTGCAAAGAGGAGGGTGATTTATGGTGGTACGGAGTTGCTTAATGCTGGCAGCTTTATCAAGGAGGAGTTGGAGAGGTTGGGTAAGGAGGTTTCGTAGATCGATGGCGAAAGATGAAGGGGAAGAGTGAGGGGTGGAAGTGAGGAGCTGCTATATATCAGATTATAATAACTTTACTTGGTCAAAAGCGTTATCAAGCATTCATGTTTGCATCACGATGTTTGTGTTGGTGTTGTCTTGCCATTTGGACAATGTCACTCGAGAATCAAGATACCAGACGTGATGGGCTTTCTTGGCCTCCATCCACGCTCATCGCATGCATGTCTTGCATTCTCCTTCAGCATGACCCGACATGGCGTGCACATGTCACAAAGCTGAGATAGGTGCAGCTGCTGAAGCATGCCAAAAATAACTTGACCGGAGGATTTACTTGGCACCCCGAAACGGAACACCGAGCCCACGGACAGGCGGAGTCGGCAATTCTGCTGATGGCTGATCAAAAGTTGATAACGCGTCCTGGAGACGTTGGAGTCAATGTTGTTAAGTCGTCGTCAGCTAAAGAGGCGAAGGGACTCGTGTGCGCACGTCTTTTCAGTACTTGTATCGCCGCTGAAGAGGCTGTGCTGCTTGCGCATTCGGCATCCAGCATCCGAGTAGTAGTCTAATGCAACAATTGACAGTTCGCGTTCGTCTTTGTCATTTCATGAATGACCGACCCATTTAATTTGCAAAGAAGACTTCCCACCCATCAAGGTGCCTCGCGTTAAAGTTGGCGCTTATCCAAAAACGCCAAGACCAGGGCTTAGCAACTTGAACTGCCAAAGGAGGCGACCAACGCGCGATGCCAAGTTTGGTGTTGTTGGCCGCGCGCAACAGGAAGTGGAAGCCAGGGACCACTGACCGGCAGCTAGCTCTGTACCTGTACCTGTAGCTTGTGCCAGGCTTGTCCCAGGCTTCTCCAAATGAAGTGGCTCCACACGACGGAGATATAATGTATCATGTACATCAAGGAAGGTGCGATATCAAGCATTGCTTTGCCCCTGATAAATCTTTTGGATAAAGAGAGAGACTCGAAGGAGATTGTAGGGGATCCGAGAAATTGGGATTAAGGGAACAGTGTCAGGTATGGCATAGAGTATGTCTGTAACATAAACATACAGTGATGCTCGATATCAAATTTCACAGGTCAAAGTCAAAGACACATTGATTACATCTACGTAGTGTACAGACTAAAACATCGGCTCCCTCCCGCGCACACACCTGCATTGATATGATGTCTCTCTTTCCCGGGCACTGCTGATCTCGTGGAAAAGCACAGATGGGGGAGAGTTGCTCTAACACGCAAAGTGCTGCTCTAAAAGTGCCGATCCGGAGTGAGGCCGTTCAACGAGATGAATCCCCAAGGGGAAAGAGGTTCGCTTGTCGAGACGGCAAATTTGATGTCGTTGGATATTGTATCCCGACTTCTCCCCAAGTGGACCACCGCTATGGCACTCGAGAGCGAGCCGAGTCGAGATGCCGGACTGGTCTGGCCCATTGGATGAGCGCTCTGACCACACCTAGGCGGGAAGCTGCGTGCTCGTGTCGCTTCGTTGCTGCGGATGATCCTGACAGACAACCTCAACGCCTCTTTGGATGGAGAAGCTGAGAGGTTGATTGAACAAAGTGAACATGGGAATAAGAACATAGTGTAGACTAGAAATTAGGGAAAGATAAAGCAGAGAGATCCTGGTAAGGTAGGTTTCATTGACTAGTCCCCCCACAGCCCAGGCTAAGCAGGAGGCTTCAACCCCTCCGTGGAACCCCTTTAAGAGGCTCAAACTATTGTAAAGACGAATGAACCAATCACGAGCTGTGTCTTTGGGGAAGCAGTCAGTGGAGCGACGTCACTCGGCTCCCTTGGGCGCTGAAACGGGCAACCCACGACACCATGGCGAGCGAGTGTTTGGGCGTTTTGGCGGTTGCGAAAAGGTCGCAAAGGGACCGTTGATTGGCCTTGACATGGCCCCTGTAGCCCCGTGCGCCCATGTTGATTTCGAGGAACGGCATCCACTGCGACCAGCCCCCCCAGTTAGACCGTGGACGACCCCCCCGGACGGGATCATCTGCCATTCGCGCCGTCGCGGTCCTGGCACCACATTCATCAGCTTGAAACTCGAGATTTTCCTCTTTTTTTCCCCCCTCTCCCTCTCTCTCTTTCTCTTTTCGTCCCGTCCCGTCCTCTTTTTGTTGCTCTTGGATTTCACGTGTCTCTTTCGCGGTACGGACAAGAAGGGGCCCAGTAAGAGGAACGAGATCTGGCATGCGGCATTGGCATTGGGCGACGAGACATTGACTACCAACCGCTACCGTACACTTCGAGACACAATCCGAACTTACCCCTCGATACCCCAAACACCCGCCAGTCAAGGAGACGTATTACCCCGTCCTTCCCTGTCAACGAACCATCAACAGATCCACGCCGCGCGGACGGTAGCTTGTCTCGACAACTACAAGGAACTGAACGGTCAACCGCCGAGTAAAAGTAAGCGGCCACTTCTTGCAAGAACAAACAAGCAAGACGGGCGGCATAACACTGCCCAAGGGAGCAAGCTCCAATAAAGACGGGGGACCAACAGGAAGCTGGTTGGGAGAAGGGCCTTGACGGCCACGGCGCATTCCACACACACCAAGCGACTGAGACTTTGTGACGAACACCGACCCGCGCCAAACCTTCAACAGTGATCGACAATACTTTCTCGAGAGAATCGATATATCCCACACACACTCATCTCTCCCTCCAACTTCCCCGGGGGATCACGGAGTAACTACCCAGAGACTATACCCCGTTGAGCGCCTCCTTCAATCCCGGCACCATGTCGTACAATCGATTAGGCAAGTCTACTTCTTTTATGCTATGAATCACTCATGATATCAAACAAACACCAAGACCCCAAGTGGGACTGTCACTACATTAGCACCCACTCCCTTTGAACCCTTCCAATATCCCAAACCACATTCCTTTCTCGGGGCCCTTACCCCTTGCTTCTTTGGAACTGCATGGGTCCCAAGAGTCTTGGAGGCCTGCCTACCTCGAGGCCGGACCCCAGCCTAGCTTTCTTTACTTTCAGGACGACTTCAAGATTGTCAAGAGAGAAAAGGGATTAGTTACTTGCCTGGCGCAAGTGCACGGCAGTGGTGATCTTCTACACAGCCCATCTCGAGTCTTTGCTCTTACATACACATTGCCGCAACGGGTCGCATTGTGCCGGGCCTTGACGTACAGACTTGGCCATCGCGCGCGTCCGGGCGCGCATATGGGTTGCCTCCTAGCAAGACAGTCATTGGTGATAGCTTGAAACTGCCACTCTAACACTTCCTCTTCAACTGTCTAGACGACGACTTCTACGAAAGTCACCCAATGGATCCTCGAATGCATACGGCTCCCCCCGCGGGCCACCCCATACAGCCAGGCTACCAGTTGGAGGACAACCCGTACCACCATCAGCAAGGCTTCGATATCCCGGCTGGCCCTGGGAGATACAGTCCTGGAGATGCGCTACACATTCAGACTCCTGTGAGTATAGCTGCTATGTCTGTGGGGAACAAGATACTAATGCGCCGAGCAGCAACCGATCGAGGGCATGGGCGGATACAATGCCCCGGGCCAACATTATACCCCCGATTACGCCGTGAACCCGGAAGAGCACCACGATGCCTACTACAACCAGCCCTACGAGCCCCAAGTTGGCCATGATCCATATGCCGCGGCCCCAACACCCCCGGTGGCCGGATACCAGGCGCACGACGACCAACGGCCCATGTTGATGCATACCGATTCTCAAGTCGGCCAGAGCGATCCTTACCACGACGAACCCCAACCGCCAACGAACAATGCGCCCATCAAGAGGTGGAAGACAGTCAAGCAGGTGCTTCTGTACCGCGGTAACTTGGTGCTGGATTGTCCTATCCCTCCAAAGCTGCTGAACCAGCTCCCCCACGGCGAGCGCGACGAGTTCACCCATATGAGATACTCGGCTGCCACCTGCGACCCTTCCGAGTTCTACGAGGAGAACTTCACTCTGCGCCAGAAGCTCTTCAGCAAGCCTAGGCACACAGAGCTCTTCATTGTCGTAACCATGTACAACGAGGACGAGATTCTGTTTGCGCGCACCATGATTGGTGTGTTCAAGAACATCGAGTACATGTGCAAGCGGACGGAAAGCAAGACCTGGGGCAAGGACGCCTGGAAGAAGATTGTGGTGTGCGTCGTCAGTGACGGTCGTGCCAAGATCAACCCGAGAACAAGAGCGTTGTTGGCCGGTATGGGTGTCTATCAGGAGGGTATTGCCAAGCAACAGGTTAACGGAAAGGATGTCACGGCGCATATTTACGAGTACACGACCCAGGTCGGCATGACCATCAAGAACGATGTCGTCCAGCTCATCCCCAAGCAGCAGCCCGTTCAGATGCTGTTCTGTCTCAAGGAAAAGAACCAGAAGAAGATCAACTCGCATCGTTGGTTCTTCCAGGCGTTTGGTCGCGTTTTGGATCCCAATATCTGCGTGCTCATCGATGCTGGTACTAAGCCCGGTGGTAGCTCCATCTACCATCTGTGGAAGGCCTTCGATCTCGAGCCCATGTGCGCCGGCGCCTGCGGTGAGATTAAGGCCATGTTGGGCACGGGCGGCAAGAACCTGATCAACCCGCTCGTCGCCACTCAGAACTTTGAGTACAAGATGAGTAACATTCTCGACAAGCCTCTCGAATCCGCCTTCGGCTTCATTTCCGTCTTGCCCGGTGCCTTCTCCGCTTACCGCTACGTCGCTTTGCAAAACGACAAGAACGGTCAAGGTCCCTTGGAGAAGTACTTTGCCGGTGAGAAGCTGCACGGCGGCGACGCCGGCATCTTCACGGCCAACATGTACCTCGCCGAGGATCGTATCTTGTGTTTCGAGCTCGTCACTAAGCGCAACTGCCACTGGATTCTGCAGTACGTCAAGTCAGCCACGGGTGAGACCGATGTGCCCGCCGACCTGACGGAGTTGATTCTGCAGCGTCGTCGTTGGCTCAACGGTTCCTTCTTCGCGGCTATCTATGCTATCGTCCACTTCCACCAGTTCTTCCGGTCCGACCACTCCTTCTTGCGAAAAATTGCCTTCTTCATCGAGTTCGTGTTCCAGACGGTCAACATGATCTTTGCCTGGTTTGCTATTGGCAACTTCTTCCTCGTATTTAAGATCTTGACGACGGGTCTGGGCGACGATAAGCTTCTAGGGACCGTTGGCGAGATTTTGGGCGTCGTGTTCGCGTGGGCGTACGGTGTGACTCTGATAACATGCTTCGTCTTATCCATGGGTAATCGACCGGCTGGTTCTCCACGGTTGTACATGGGTATGGTTGTTTTCTGGGCCATTATCTTTATGTACGTTTGCTCCTCCCTCCCCTCTTTTCTTTCACTTGGAAGCCCCTTTACTAACAGTATCACAGCTACCTAATGTTCGCAGCCATCTACATCGCCGTCGTTTCCATCCAAACCGACGTCCAAAAGGGCCTCTCCTTCACCGACCTCTTCCGTAACGAGCTCTTCTACACCCTCATCGTCTCCGTCGTCTCCACCTACGGCATCTGGCTGATCGCCTCCCTCCTCATGTTCGACCCCTGGCACATGGTCACCTCCATGGTGCAGTACATGCTCCTCTCGCCCACTTACACCAACGTCCTCAACGTCTACGCCTTCTGCAACACCCACGATATCTCATGGGGTACCAAGGGTGACGACAAGCCCGACAAGCTGCCCTCCGTCAACACCAAGGACGGCCAGGGTAAGACCGATCTTCCCGACGAAGGCGATCTCAACGCTTCGTACGAGCGCGAAATTCAGGTTTTCTCGAGGAAATACGTGAAGCCGGTGACGGCGCCGACGAGTGCTCAGTTGGAGGAGAAGCAGATGGACTATTACCGCGGTGTCAGATCGATGGTCGTGTTGGTGTGGATGATTACGAACTTTGCGCTGTGCGCGGTGGTGTTGAGTACGGCTGGTCTCGAAAGGATCGATCCGGAGGAAGGAAGCCAGGAGCAGGAAACGACGAAGCGGGCGACGATTTATATGAGTGTGGTGTTGTGGAGCGTGGCGGTTCTGAGCGGGTTCAAGTTTGTGGGGGCTTGTTGGTTTTTGGTGGTGAGGATGTTTAGGGGTGTTTGAGTATGATGCTGTTTTGGTGTTGTTTTTTGCTGTTGTTGTTCTTCTGGAAATGCGTCATGAATTAGTAGCTTTTCTTGTTCTTTTCGAATCTTTGAAGCAAGTGGATGTTACGTGGATATGTGGATTTGGTAAAAAAAGCAAAGACAATGGGAGCTGTTTGGTTGAGATGAGTGAGGACATGGAGAGTGGAATGTGGATAGAATCAAAGATGGGACTTGGGAAGGAGTTGAGAGAGATTAGGTCCTTTGCCTCCTTTTAACGCCTTTTTGCTTTAGCCAGAGATACCTATTGAACGTTTTGAAGCTTCAGGGGGCTTTTCTTGGGTGATCGGAGTGGACATGTGCTTTGCTTGTTTCTACCGCAGATGTTATGGCAGAGATATGAAGTCATGATGATACCTAATGCTATAGTGACGCCAGTCTGTACTCAGGACTTGCGTTGTCGTCTTGCCTATCGCAATGAATACCAGCTCAACCGGTTAATGTTGTTTCCCGCGATGATTGACACAGTTTGTTTACACTAGATCATCTTGTGGTTTTCAAGTGGAACAATTATCAAGGTCATGGACAGAACCGCCTATTCTGATACCTTCATGCTTTTGCGAAATGAAGTTGAATAATGATCAAGTGAACCCCATCATAGAGAAGGCATGGTGTTCAATCGTCTTCATCAACATTACCGTAACACTAACTCAACTCTATACACTCATAAACTCGTACGTGATGGTGATCCCTACCACGATATAATCTACCGTCTTTTTCGTCAATAAGTCCAACCTTTAATCCCGAGTTCCCAAGGAAACCATATCCCCTCCCCCCTATCCCCCCTCCCCGGTAAAGAAGGGCAGTATAAGCCTTTCAACGTATCACCTTCCCTTCGCTCAAACTTTTCTCGCAGCTATCTATCTTCCTCATCCTTCCACGACGGGAGATCAGCAAAGTACCGTAGAGGCACATACAACATATGCAGACTCCGTATCTCACAGTCACAGTACGGGGATGAAGCCTGGTCGTTCGCATCCTTTTGAAGCGTTGTTGTGTTCCAGGAAGAAAGACATTGAACGTTTCACGTCTCAAACATTCATTCGTTCAGAAGAGGGACTAATCTGTGATTCGTCCCGGTCCATTCCCACCCCTCCCTCCGGCTGGGACTCCAAGATGGATTTGACAGCATTCTTCGGCTTCAACAAGTATGGAGATAGTGTATGGAGTTTGGAGATGGAAGTGACGGCGGATAGATGCTTGTATCGTCTGTTTATATATGAAGCATCAGAACGAGATTGGGTTTGCGTTCCGGATTGATACCTACCTAGTTAGTAACTTCTCAGGCAATCAATCGAGTACCAGTTGTTATGCTTAACAAGATGATGAACAGTAAGTAGTAATCTTTCGTCTTGAGTTTGCAATCTATATATGCGCAGTTTCAGATATCAATGATAGATCCCGACCCTCACTTGGTTATCTACTTGGAGGAGACATCGTTGAATCTCCCGCCTGCATGTTCTTACCATATCATCGAGCCATTTTGTTCTGGTGATTCAAAATGTTTTCTTTTCTACGAGTGAAGTCGGTACCTAGTCAATGACGGCCCCTCTTTTATCGAAGCCTACACTACCGTATATAAGAAACATAGGGACGTGCCACACCACGCACGACATGCAATGGGAGCGAGGCAGGTACCAAGACGTATGTATATACCGACAATCACTCTCGGTGTAGGAGTCAGGAGCGATCGGTCTCCGTCTCTCATCGTTGCGAGCCTCATCGTCGGCGGTACTGGCGGGTGGTATCTCCTTGTTTGCTTGAGCTTGCGTGTTTGCTTGCTGTGCTTTGCCTGCGGATGCAAACCCGAACTCGAACTCGAACTCGAACTCGCACTCAAATGAATGACAACAACTCGGCACTTTCGCAACTGCTGTTGGTTCTCACTAACTGCAGTACATAGTAAAGCCGAGATTTATCCAAAGGTAGATTCCTCGCTAGCAAAAGTTCATAGCTTGTCAAAGCCTTTTGGTTATGTTCATAGCGGGCGGATTTGTCCCGTCAAGAGTCCATTGCCCAAACTCGTTTGCGGCATGAAATCTAGTCAAACTTCACGATGGCCAAGCCCGGTCAACTTGGTACATGGAAAAAGCTGAGTGGGAAAGGTGACCACGAGGGCAAGACGTCTCTTTGAGTCACATTCACCACTCATTCACTGCGCCGTTCGTTCACTGCGCCGTTCGTTCACTGCGCGCTTCCTTGTCCTTGTATGGAAATAGGTTCGTGCAAGGAAAAAAAAATCTGCTGGTCAGTTGGTCAGCCACGAAATCGATACCTTCCTTTCGGTCGCATAAATCTTGTCTTTGATGAAAAGTTCAAAACTTTCTTCCATGTTCTTCGAAGAACGTGCATGAATGAATGACATGAACGGGAGGGAGGTGGCGAGAAGTCAACGGTCATCCATGGTTGGTCATGGGAGACACTGACAGCGACGATTGGTAAGTTTTAGCGAGTAAAAAAAGATTTTTTTTTCGTGCCCTGCTAACAGTTACCAGTGAGTGAGCTAAGAAAGAAATGTAAGCTAGTGTAGCGCTCAGACTTTGTGTGTGTGGCGGACTGGCGTCGTTGGGCTTTGCTTTGTTGGTTGTTTTGTCGTCGTCGTTCGGCGCTTCCAAGGTCTAAACCAGGGCAGGCGTTTTTGGCGGCGTCGTTGCGTGCTCTTCAAAAACTTCTTTTTTTTGCCCCTCTCAATGCTTCTTCAGCCGCTGACAACCGTAGTCACTTCGCTGGCTTCATTGGCTGCACCAATCACTGAAAGAATTCGCATTCTGGGTTGAGCTGCCCAGTTCATTGGAAGATGCTACCGCCGTCACCGTGAAAAAAGAGGGGAGCAGGGGGGGTCCGCGGTCGTGAAAGAAGGTGGCTTGGCCTTGAAGTGTCCTTGGTTGGAACTTGGAAAGGGCCGAGGACGATGGAAGAGGGACACGTGAGGGAGGGGGGAAAAAAGAGGCTCTGCAAGTTGCAACCGAAGCAGAATGCAAAGAGATCTTAAAGCCGACCGAAGGTATTGTACAATGGTGTCCCGCTGGGAGGTGTGGTTGGCCAAAGCTGAGGAAAGGGTCCTGTTGATGTGTAACCGAAGACACAGGAATTTCTTGACCTCTTTAGTCACACCACACAATGAAGGCACACCAGGAAAACAAAATTGAATGCGGTGCCGTTGGAAATATGGCATTCTTAAAAACTCGAGGGATGACAAAGCCAGAGTCTGATCGACAATTCAAGATCCAAGAAGCACGGTTTTTCAACTTAGAAAATCCTTATCTCGGAAACAAACCCGTTGGTTCGTTGACCCAGACCACCGGTTGGCGTTGACACAGGGCATCGGACGGCACCTTATCAGCGCAGGACGGGAGCGAGCGAGAACGCCCTGAGAGGCGGGAGATAGGGCGACAGCTTTACCCCGGATTTTCATTGCAAGCCTCCCGTCCCCCCTTTTCCTCACTCGGTTTCAGTCGGTTGGTCTGTGTGTTGAACGTTCGACCCTCGGCTACCTTACCAACTTTCTGACGACCTCCAGATTCCAGACGGACTCAAGACACTTCGCATGAACGAAGTGAAAGCATGACTCCCATAATTCATTGACACTGACCCCACGTGGTCCTGCTTTGCGATCGGGCTTTGTTGTGAGGGGATCGGGGGCTTGTTTCCAATTTCCCGTCACCTTGTTCCTCAATTCATCCGCATGACTTGCTTTCACCGTGACTTGGACCGCCCGGTCCCCCTTGGCTTTGTTGAAAACGAGGGGTAACGTTGGTGTCGTGATCCATCTTACCGACGATCTTGGTTGAAGCACCAGGATTTGGTTTTCCTCCCTTTTTGACTCCATCGTAAATTTCCTCTATTACGTGTAGAGATGAATGGTCTCTCACACCTCGGCCTGAGCTGACTTTCGGTTCCCATTTCAGGCTCTCTTGCTTCTTCACCACAAAGAGCTAGGGCTAATACTTGTTCTAGCTGTTTGAACCGTATCTACTAGCGGGAGATGACAGCAACAAGATACGTTCTTCTTCCGCGGTCTATGCCTCACCATTTCCTCGTTCGGGATTCGGACTTGAAGCGGCATGACAGACCTCATCGAACAATGAACAAAGAAGCCGGGAGCATTGACCGCACGAGCCCAGAATCCGGGGTTGCCGGCACTCGGGCCAACTTTTGGAAGACGTGTGCCTGAGAAAACTGGAGACTCGCTTCGCCTAGGGCAAAGCTCCTTTTTGCGATGGAGCCGGTGATGGGTCACGGATGGATCCCGGGGGAGGGGGTTTTTTTTTTTCACCAGGTGGTCGATGCCGAGTGGGAAAAAAAAGATTCTGGACCGGGAAAACAGCCGACAGGGTCTGCATAGGCCATGGCGTGGTGCGAGAAAGAACGGTCATCAGGGACTTGCTGAAACTTTCGAGAACAATTCAAACTGTGAGGGGTCTTTGGTCTCTAGCGTCAGTCAGTCGTCTCTAGTGTAGCACAGCAACGGCAAGTCGGCAACACCAGCGCCAAAAAGAAAAATAGAAACAAAATAAACCCAAAGAGGTTTCGTACACTCCACATGGCGCGTCGCTACACCGCCAAGCATTGAACAAAATAAGAGTCATATCCGTGATATTTCAAGGAGAAACCGAGCAAATATCAGGAACGACTCTCCGACACTCATCGCTTCACCAGGGGTAGATGCTCAATGGAGAGAGAACAAGCAAGACCACATACAGTTTCTCTCGCTTGTTCCACCATCTCTACGTGATGTAAATACATAATGTACACAACCACCCACGGAGTACCGACTCCGGCCGGCATATATCCAACTGACCGCCGCCTCTCAACGCTCAATGCCGTCGGTGGACGGACAGAGGACGGTCTCAACAGCCCCCAGAAGCCGCCGAGGCAATCTGACATTGCGACATGGTGACATGGAGGGGGGCAATGAAGACACAGGCTGACGCGAGATGGCGGACTGGTGGTGCAAACTTGCGTGGGGAATGAACAAGTGAACACTTCACTTCACACAAAGAGCAGCAGCAGCAGTTGACGGCAGAGCGACGACGACGACGACGCCAAGGGTGAAGGACAAATCATCATGGTCGCATCGGCCATGCTTCAGACCTTGAAGATCACGGCGGGAAGACTGGATCGACGTCCGCCCTTTTGCCAAGCCGATCAAGCAGCTGCCAGGCGGAATGCTGCGGTCTTGTGTGTGTCGCACAAAGAACGAAAAAGGGACAAAAAAAAAGAGATTTGGCCCAGACAACACAATTCTGGTCGCAGCGCTTCGTCACCGTCCCTTGCATGACGCATGGACCAGATTTAAGTACCACGAAAGTACAACTCTGCGGGCTTGCCATAGAAAGGATACACAGCTCCAATTCCCAAATTATGGGGTAATGATCTCGTAACAGAAAGTGCTGGGGGGGCTCGTGACTGCCAGACAGGGCCCGCTCTGGCAGTTTCTATGTGCTAAGAAGAAAGCTTGAATGGACCGTTGTCAACCGTTCATGGCCCGGCGTGGACTGCCATTGACTGTCGAGACTGCCATGGCCTTGTCCGCTGCTGCAAAATACACTTTTTCAGCCCAACAAGCCGTCCGTTCAGAGGTCGAGGAGCACCTGACGCACCTGACGCCATTCCGTTGTTTGGTTGGCTTCAGTTTGTTTCTGTCATTGTCGTCAACCTCCATGGCTCCTCCCGGCCTTCTGACAACGACGGACTGTACCACCACACACACACACCAGGATCAGTGAAGCACTTTCACCACCTCCTGTCCTGTAACGTGCTGCAGAGACAGTCGCACAATGGATCATGGCACAGCAGCAACCGCAGATTTTGGCATCTCCGCTTTCTCCATCCCGGTTGCAAAAAGTTACAAAGTGGAAGTCACGATGCGATTCGAGAGGCAGAGAGAGGCCAGTTGCTATGTAGGGCAAGTCCACGTTGGCTCCTCTGCTGCTCCAGTTGCGGTCCATTGTCTCCATTCGCCTTGGGTCTTGAAAATTTCGCAATCCGGCCGAGCCCAGTGTGTCCCTGTACTTGTGCCGGTGTATGACCTCGAAAGAAAAAAAGAGAAAATAAGAAAATGCAGAGGTACAAAGTACTTGCAAGTAGCGGCTAGGTAGCTGACAAGCAAGAGAAGGTGCGTCGTGTACAAGTCTGGACAAAGAGGAGTCATGTGGCTGCCCACTTTTCACTTGCTTTGCTCATCATCCTAGGTCCAAGCACTGGGCAGCTCGCTAGGTGGTTCCATGGCGACCCAGCATCGTCCCAGGACTGTCACTGTCCCCAGAGTTACGGTACCGTCCGAGCACCATCCATGACACCAATTGGGTTCAGTTTCCCGCCGGCTGCATCCATGAATTAACTAATAAGACCTTTTTCTTGGCCAGCCTTCCTTGGCCATCCCATCCCTTTCAAAACCCACGAAGCAACGACCCCTCGAGTGACCCCTCTATAACATACCCTCATCTATTAAAAGACCGAATCTCTCAGGATCCGCACCCCTCGTCTCCCGTCTTCCCTACACACGGATCCATAAGTGCCTTCTTCAGTCTCAACTGTTCGTCTCCAACAACAAAGACAAGTCTCATACCACGCGAACACTTCTACTCAGACACCAAATCATTTCCATCAGTCAACAACATACGACAGCTGTGTCCACACGAAACCACCTCAATCAACAACACCACACATCACATACAAACAGCCGTCACAATGGAGAGGACACCATCATACACCATCACCGAGCCCCACCCCACGGTGGTGCAAAACACCTACACCAAGGCTGGCCGCGGCGGTGCCGGTAACTTCTTCCGTGCTCCCAAGACCACCCCTTCGACCGGCGTTCCCACCAAGGTCACACCATCAGCACAACCCAGCGCTCCCGCCCGTTTCTACTCGGGTCGCGGTGGCGCTGGCAACGCCCACACCTACACCCAGCGCCCTACCCTTTCTTTCGACGAGGAGTACCAGAGGGCCGAGGTCCGCGAGAAGGCTGCCACCATGGGCTACGTCGGGCGAGGCGGTGCCGGCAACATCTTCAGCACCGTCAGTGACAAGCTCAGCATCCGCTCCGAGAGCAGCTCCAGGAGCAGGCATCGCCGCGACTCCGTCAGCACCACCGAAAGCCACCGCTCTGGTTTTTGGAGGACGCTGAGCAACCTTGCCCACAAGGGTTAGGAGCCCCGCTCCGACAAAAGAAGCAGGAGGACCCTTTACGAGTGGCGCCTGTCACTGGCAGAGTATGGAGAGAGCAGCATAGGCTCGAGCATTTGCAGCAACAGGGAGGAAGAAACAGTCCAAGAAGACCATGGGGTTAAGGATGATGATGCCAGTCATGAGAGGGAAACCCACCGACCTGCGATTCAACGTGCTGGCCTTCGCAGATATCACTCCGAACCCGCTCTTCGACCGAAATACTTGTTAGCCATGGCAAGCATCCGACGCAACTCTCTTGCACCATCGTCCTAATGCAGCCGTCCTCCTCTCCCTCTTCATCCTCCTCCTACTTCTTCATACTTTTTTTTTTTTCACTTCATACACACACTCACCACTCCATTATTCAACCTATGGACGTCGTTTTTTTTTTTTCTTACACATGTTTTATTTCTTCAACATCAGCACGGCGTTTCGGGCGGCTTCTGTGGTTGTGTATGCCACATTTGGCTATGGGGTTTACAACAACGATTGGGATCCTAGGATGAATCGGGAATTTTGGGACAAAATGTTTTAGCAGGGAGAGTTCACAAAAGAACTAGGCAAAAAAGTTTTCTTATTTTATTAGCAATCATGTAATGGGGGGAATCTCAGCAAAACAAACGGCGAGAAAGAGAGATATCTCAGACCAACGACCTCCTCACAGAAGAGTCGTTTTCCTTTCACAACACAAACCACGGCGATGTCGTCGGATCATGGCCAATTCACTCGTTTCTGATTGGTTGGAGCAAGAGGTGGTTTTTGTTGGTGGCTGCCAAGGAAAATTAAGGGTTCATCTCTTGGTTCTTCTGCAGCGCTGACGCTCCCCGCAAAAAACCGAAAAGAGCCTCTTCAGCTCCTCACACATCATCCCAACGACACAAGGGAAAGGGCACAAAATCGGCGTTTGTTATTGGTTTGCTGGCGCATGAAACAGCAGTTTTTCGATGCGACTGTTCTGCTTTTGGACATTGATTTGAAAGCGAATATCAAGATACCCCATGGAGAGAGAGCGTTTATGTATTGGATGGAGATTTGTCATTTACTGCGAGCACCATTTTTTTTTTTTTTTTTTTTTGGCAGGAATGTGATGGACGAACAAGTACAAATCGAACATTTTCTGACTGCCATCTACTTTCTACCGCTTCGAATGCTTGCAATTGTGACTTTGATCTGAATGAACAAACCGAAGTGAAACATTACGAACTTCCAAAATCCGGCAGATGACCGCATGGCAAACCGCCGAAACAGCTTCACGGGAGCAATGGTGTTTCAAACGGCATGCACGGATTCAGAAGACCGGAAAAAAGTGGCCGTGCGCCGTCCGCCGCCGCCCCGGGGTACGGGCTCAGCTTTCACAAATGGCCCTTCCTCATGATAAATTCCTGGAGCTTTCATCCAGGGCGCCGAAACCCTCGTTGGCGCCCTTTCCAGGGCACAGTTCCACGGCACATCCGAATTGCCGCCATTCCTCGATTCGCCAACAAAAAAATTCAAAGTTCAAGGATGGCATCGCCCAAGGAAGCCCCGTCGCAACTGGCAGTCGGTGTTCGGACCGAGCGGAACCCCCGTACCCCCCTCCGCCCCGGTTCTCCAGCGGCATTCGGCAAGCTGAAGACGGGGGCATGCATGGTCCACAAGTCGCAACAACCGGGTTTTCTTTTTGAACCCAGATCACGATGCAAGAGGGTGGTGGGTACATATACCTACACTAGGTAAACTCAGGCCGACCGCACGGTCGCACCAAGCAAGGCCAACCTCACACCCACGGGTGCTGAACCTGCGTTCGGATTTGGCAGTGGAATAACGGACATGGTGGAACAAGCAAGCACAGGCGAGCCAGGCTCTCCCAGGTCACAAAATCGAACATAGCGAGATCTCATTGAAGAAAAAAAAATACAGAAAAAGACGGGTGGATAACAGGTCTTGATGCCCTAACGGTCTAGCTGGGAACCATTGAGCTACGCAGTGAACGGTGGGTTTTCATGAACAACAATACCGAGACGGCGATTCCATCTCGAGCACGGACAATAAGTTCATACATGCCAGCAGTATTCACCGCCGGAGGAGGCATGCTCTACATTCCACACTAGATTGGTGGATTAATGGTTTTATTTTGTTGCACCGCCCCGCGAGCGAGCCCTGCGAGGAGGAGTCTGACGGGGAATCTGAACTGAATGGAAGGAAGGGGGCTTCCTTCCAGAATGCCGCCAGCAGGACCCCTTGTCAGAAACGACCAGGCGATCAATCCATTGTTGCTGGCTGGACCTTCGTCGGGAATAGCGACGAGCTGTGTAGTGTAGTGTATAGTGTAGTGTTGTATGATCGTGAAACAGATCCTAGAAGAAGGGAGGGAAGTTGGCGAGCTCATCCGAGGTTCCGGTTGCTCAGGCTCAGGCCTGTACATAGCCATGGCTTCAGGTTCAAGCAAGGGCCACGACGAGTTGAGTGGAAAGACACGAAACGAAACGAAACGAAACGAGCAAGGCCCAAGAAAGAAGAGCGTCTCGGTCCCGATGACTACCTCTATGGTACGATCTCGTCCCAGATTTCAGGACATGAAACGGTGACGAGTAACTACATAGCAATCTACGTACCTCCCTTCAATGCTTGAGGAGGCTTGGGAATCCTCCGAGGAGATTCAACTATCTGGCGTTCATCAATATAAACCAGTAGTGTAGTGTAGTTGTACGACAACGGATACATGAGGTACCTCGAGCTCGCTCTGCTATTGTGTAACGACTCTTCTCATTTTTCGTCTTTCAGCGAAGGCAAAAATGCCTTGCTCCCTTCCCATGGCAGATCACACAATGACCTACTAGTAGTCTAGGGTATCTGCCTGTCGCCATCCATGACAGACAGACAGACTGACTGACTGATGTGGCCGCTGCGGTGTGTGTGGTCTTTCGCCATCGTCGCAATCAATGACGATGCGCATGCAACGACGCCTGACAACATTACCGACGATAGTCTATAGGTTGCTGTATCGCTTTGACGGTTGGGGGTGCTCAGGGGGGGGGCGAGTTATTGCGCGATGCCTGGGGATGGTGTGATACCTCTTCGTAGAGCTGAGAGAAGCAGGGTGTTGTGGGAGTGGTTATGAAACTAACCTTCTCGACTATGTAGTCAATTATTATCAATTCGAGAGAACAAGTCCCGAGGCATACCTACTCCTTCACATCCTTCTGTTTTCTATTCATCTTTTTTTTTTAAAGGCCAAGACAGATAGATCTTGGACATCAAGGTACCCACCGACATGTGAGACATTTTGGAGATGAACCTTTCTTTCCTTCTTCTGCCTCTCTTGGTGTTTGTTTCATTCATCCATCCATGAATCCATGAATCACCACCCATCACGCATCATCGAGACCCTCTCTCTCTCTCTCAAAAGTCTCGAAACAGTTGACAGCAGCAGCAGCAGCAGTAGCACCGTCCTTACTCGTTTACATACCGTACTGGGCTACACTACCGCTCATCATCTCCGATCATCTCCCCTATAAATATGACATAGAGAGAGAGAGAAACATAAACATAGACAACCCGAACCCTAACCGCCCAACGCTCAACGCTCAACGCTTCTTCTTCCATGATCATCAACTCACTCGTTCCCTTCCCGATCTACCCGTGCTCCATAGAGGTATCCCCAACCCATCTGGGTAACTGCTGGGCACTTTTATGATCCAACGCCTACTGCGTAGACTAACGCCCTGCCATTTCCCGTTCTGTGCTTGCTTGCAAATCCCTCGTCACCAGTCACCAGTCACCAGTCACCGCTTCCTGTGTGTTATGTCGCTCTGGTCTCCTCTGCTCCATGAACCGTTGTTGCTCCATCATCGATCATCGCACTGGATGGCGGAGCTTCGCTTCCTTCGGTTCGGTTGTTTTCTTTGGATGGACCTTGTATCTACACTAGTCTATAGCGTACGCAATACGCGTACTGTCTTCCACCGGTGGTAACATGTTCAGTTTCTGACGCACTGTGACCGACCGCGTATGATCGACCAGGAGGTTGGCTCCCCACAGCTTGTCCATAGAGGTTGGTCGTAAAGGTTGTCCACAGAGGTGCACAATACACTACAGTACTAGTGTAGAGCAGACAGTCACAGTAAAAAATGGAGCACATCCATTCACTGAGTACCAAAGGGAGGTATTTAGGACGTTTGACTCTCTTTATCTAACAGCTGTCTAGCAGCTGTTGTGCTCGCTGCTTATATGTGATGATGCGTTTGTACTCTTGTAGTGTAGTTTTGTGGTTACCAAGGTGACCGTCAAGGTGCTCACTGACTGCTCACATTCGATGTCTCTCTACCCACCCCTTGTTTACTTCCAGCCTCTTTACTAGGAGCCCCCCCCCTTTTTTTTCCCCAGCCTCGGACTGAAATGGCATATGATACTTCGTCCTCCCATCATCGATCGCAACATATGATTTCCGTAAAGGTATACTTGTCGAGGCTAAAATCACCCTTCTTCCACTTGCCCAAAGCCAAGATTCTGAGGCGCTAGATTCTAGCCCAGACGGGTAGCACAGAAGGTGGTACGTAGCTGGTAAGTCTGGATAGAGGATGATGTACGATGAAAATTGGATTTTTGTTTATTAGACAACCGGTGTCCTTGCTCTCCGGCTCGCTCGCTCCTTCTCCTTTGCCAAGTCTTGTCGTTATCATCATCATCATCATGTAAACTTCGTATGAATGATATCCGGATTCTCGTGCCAGTCGTCAATGCTAACCCACATCTGTTCATTGTCACACATTTGTTAGCACACATCATGGCCCCATTTTTTGAAATTTCTTTCTTGTCCACGCGCAAACACGGAGACACATGTGAGGACATACCTTTCTAAACGTGCTCAAACCCGCCAAAATACTACCACCGATCCAAGTCGAGTACTTCCTCTCCGGCGGCGCAAAGATCTTTATCCGCATGTCCTTAACCGCGAGCTTCTGCACTTCCGTGAGCAAGCGGTCACCGAAACCCTTTGTGAGCGTGCTGCCTCCGGACAACACAATGTTGGAGTACAAGTCTCTGCGCAGGTCCAA